TTTTGATTCTGGTGCATCTCATGCATTCATCAATAAAACATTTGTCATAAAACATGAAATTCCAATTGGGGTAACAAAGAAAAATTTCTATATACAGTCGCCCGGGGGATGTCTGTGTACTAATGAAATGGTGTACCAGGTACCCATAAACCTGGGTGGGCACATTTTTCCCACCACCATGATTATTCTAAAGGATCAGGATATAGATGTAATCTTGGGAATGAATTGGATGTACCAACATAAAGCTGTTGTAGATACTTTGAATAGGACTATAAGGGTGAGTTTGTTAGATAGTAATTCTCAGCTTCTTATCCAACTTCCAATCTTAAAGAGATCCATGGAAAAAGTTTGTGCCACTTCCGTCAAGGAGATTAGAGATATCCCTGTAGTTTGTGAATTTCCCGATGTTTTCCTAAAGATTTACCTGGTCTACCACCTGATAGGGATGTTCAGTCTGGAATAGATCTAAAACCTAGAACAGCTCCGATCTCTCGGAGAGCTTATAGGATGCCTCCCAAGGAATTACCTGTCACCTGTGAGAAATAAAAGGGTTTTGGATACGGTCGGTTATTTACGTTGTCATGAGGTATAAGCTTGTGGAGTAATAAATCTAGACCGGATGGACTCGGTGTGTGAGAGCCACAAGACATGGATGTCTTATGAGTGGGTTCTTTTCGCCTGTGTCGATTAAGAACCGTTCGTTGTTGAATTGCATGAGGTGAGACTTTATAGTACTAGCCACATACTCCGGTAAGCCTTAACTCAGCTATTCTATTACGAGAATGGCTACTCGCGCACTGAGAGTGGAGAGATGGTGGGAGTAGCGTGTATCCACGTGGCAATGGGCTGGATTGGTGGAGTACTGTGCTCTCGGGTGGCGCGGACCCGTTCTTGTTTTAGAGGACCTAAGGGTAGGTTGGTATATGTAGGTCAGGGACCTGCATATGTCGTGTGGTTGGGAATCTCCAACTGGGTTATATCGGTTCGAATCATCGTTGCTCCTCGGTTATGGAGACTCAACTCACTGTTCATCATCGTAATTAATAACTGGAACTTGAGTAAGGTTTGAGAAAGAGTTTAATATGGAGTTTCATGATCTCATTATGGATCATGTCAGCTTTATATATGATCTTGATGAAGTTTTATATATTGAAATATAGAATTTTGTTAGAGAGCTTTTACGCAAAAAAACTTTGTTTATTGCTAAAGCCTTACCTTGAATCCCTGAGCCTACATTTCTGAGTCTTCTTAGTTTTTATTTCGGTTAAGTCTTGTTGAGTACTTTGTACTTAGGGTTCGTTAACCCTTGTTGCAGGTGAGCCTCCTGAGCAGGTCTGCTTTGGACCGTGCTACATGATTGTTTTTCAAATTGAAGATGACAAGTAAATGTGTGGCCCTTGGGCAGGGCACTTTAATTGTGTGTTTTGTATTATGTTATTAATGTCACTCCACTACTATTGTTTGTAATAATAATCATACTTAGTTTGTAAGGTTTGCAACAACTGTTTTGTAAACTAAGTTATTGTAAGACTTCCGCTATATTACTCTGATGTATATATATTTGAATAAACGGTTGTAATACTGCAATGACTCTGTAATGGGATCCTGCTCGGAAAATCATGGATGATTCGGGGTTCCTCGAGGACACCCGACAATCTTCTTAAGTTACCGGGAACATATGCATAGTCGTCAGAGGTCATTGGACAGTGACAGGTGCATGTGGGCCCTATAATTTAGGAGGTTCTGCCATAGGATGGAACACTGATTCTTTGAATCAATACTAGGCATGTCATCTTCCCTATGTTCTATTCAATTGGTGTGCCTTTTTATTCGCTCGGGGTGGCAACCTCATGTTCGAAGGTAAGGCCTAGAACAACAACGTTGCATTTAGATCAAGTGGCATGGAAAGGAGAAAGTGAAAACCTTTTGTGAAGTGGTTTTGAAAATGCTAACTCAGTGCTAAATGAGTTGTTGTCACGTTGGACAACATTTGGGAGTTATCATAGTTGAAAAAGGTTTTCGAGCAGAGTTGGAAGAGCTATTTTTAGTGCACTGGAATTGTCCTGTGGTGGCACCAAATAGTAGGCATAGTGCATGACTATTAGTTGTATTTCCAGTGCGCACATTGTGTTTTGGTATGCACCTAATGGGTCACACCAGATGATGAACAGTGCACTGACCTAACACACAGGAAATAGGTTTTGAATGCACCAGATCTCTCTTGTGCGTGCACCGAAGTGAGCACCGGAACATTCTACCATAGAGCCTATTTTGGTGCGGTTTGGAGGCTTAGATGGCATCATAGCTGTCCGATGTGCATAGGAGTGGTGCACGAGACTATTCTATTAGAGAGAGTTTTTAGGTGCATTTTGCGCTATTGTGAGCACCGGATCTCTGCTGTGTGCGCCAGAGTGGTGCACTAAAGCTTTGACTAGGCAACATCGTCAAGTTTTGTAGTCAGTGGTATATGACCATTGGGGAGGTCCGGTGCAAGCTACTATTATTGGTCATAGGGAACCTTTACATTGAGCGATATTCATGCAAAGGAGAATACAAGGAAGTGCCAAAAACTGGACTTCAATAGGCTATGAGGTGCTTGGGTCGTCTAAAGTACTTTTTATAAGATGTTTCAGATGAGCACCAAGGGTTTCACATCACTTCATGAATTGCTAGTCTTGACCTATGGTTTGACCTCAACTAACAATATTTCATCAATTTTGTCATTGTCGATGTCTTGTGGAATGTCATAGGACCCCAAGCATTTTCACAAGCTATAAATCGTTTTACGTGGTTACTTTGGAAAATTAACACTAAGTTTCATGAAGTATTGAATTGTTTGCGCAAGTTAGAAAAGGACATATTAAGCCAAGAGATCCTAATTTCAGTACTCAGCATGACAAGGTCAAACAGGACTATTTTCTGGCCTTGTTTCAAAGGCTCTATTGGAGTTATAGACGTTTCACTTGTTCTAGTTGCAGTGCCAACAGACAAAGTGGTTAACCACACATGTCGACATGGATATACATCTGAAAACGTGCTAGCTTTTTGTGACTTTGGCATGACAGTTTATCTTTGCGGTTGCTGGTTGACTGAGCTCTGCACATGACACATGGATCCTCAACCATGCATTAGCAAATTTTTCTTCATTTCTCGTGCCTCCTAGATGTATACATGGTTCATTACTAAGTTAGCAATACTTCTTTATTATCTGTCTTTGTTGATTTGGTTTTATAGGAAAATATTATCTCACGGACTCTGATTATCTAAATTAAATATGATATCTTGTCTCTTTCAAAGGAAGCACATACCATACTATATACTAAAAATTTGTCTTGGTTCTAGGCATCTTCCTCAAGGGAAGTACGAGGTGTTCAATTTCTTGCACTCATTCCTTCAAAAGCCTTAAAATAGAAGTGGCTTATTTTGAAGGCCACGTCAAGTTTTTCAACTAGTACACTTAGAAGCATATCATTCTTGCTTGTTTAGAGTTGCATAGTTTTATTTAGACAATAACTTACATGATAGGGAGTTCAATAGATGTGATGCTGATGAGAAGTAACTATCAGAACAGACATGTGCTAGGACACAAACACAAGAAAATAAGAGTAGCTACCGAGAATGAGGATACCATGAATGTAGGATAGCTGATACTTTAATTAGTATAAAAGGGAGATACTTATATTGATGGAGGACATCATTATATGAGCCTTATAGTTTTTCTAAAATGCTATCGTTGTATTTATGTAGACCATATGTTAATGCCATACGCAAAACTTTAAAAAATTAAGTTTCACTTCTAAAATAATAATTTACATGCGAATAAGTGAACAACACGATATTTACAATCAATTTGGATATAAACAGTCTCTCAGGCCTTCAGAGGCATTACAAGCATTTTTGGGCATTACAGACATTTCTTATCAAACCTATATTTTTATGGTAGCTTCAGCTAAACAATTTTCAATTTTCCCACAACTCATAACTTATAGCAGTTTTTTTAGTTCACAACCCATAATAACTTTTTCATAGCTCATAGCCAAACTAAACACAACTTCTTAATTTTTAGGTTAGAAGACTAGAAGCTACGGCACAAACCAAGAAGATAAGAGTTCAGATGCGGAGAATAAAGATACTACAAATACCATCCATAGCAGGATAGCTGATACTTTGATTAATGTAAAAGGGAGATACTTGTGTTGATGGAGGACATAGTTATATGATACCTATATTTTTTGTAAATGCTATCGTTGTATTTTATGTAGACCATATGTTAATGCTGGATGCAGACCTTAAGAAAATTAAGTTTCCCTTCTAAAATGATGATTTATATGCGAATAAGTGAACAACACGATGTTTACGAACAATTGGCATATAAATAGTCTCTCATACCTTCAAAAGCATTACAGACATTTCTAGGCATTATAGCATTTGTTATTAAACCTACATTATTATGGCTGTTTCAGCCAAGCGGTTTTCATTTTTTTTCCACAGCTCAGAACTTATAACAGTTTTTTATAGTTCAATACCAATAATAACCTTTTTTCAGCTCAAAAACCAAATACAGCTTCTTAGTTTTTACGTTAGAATGGGCAGAAGCCGGTAGTTTTGCATTTGAACTGCTTCTGCTTCCGTTTCAAAGAGCGCCTAGGGATGTTTGGATCCCTTGCTGGCCCTTGCCTAGCTTGGCTGGGCAAACACAGCGACGTTTGGTTGACTTGCTCGCTGCTTCGGTTCTTGTGCTGTCAAACTTTTTCTTCACCAAGTCAGGCAAGCCAGATCCTCTCTCCCATGCTGGCAAGGCTAGCTTCGCCCAGCAAGGCAAGGCTAGTCTAGCAAATGAGAGAACCAAACGTGTCCTAAAAAGTTAAAAAAAAAGAAGGCCTAAACCCTCTCTCTCTCTTGGTCTCTCAAACCCTCATTCAGCTGCTGCTCACCGGATTCTCTCTGTCCATTCTCCCGCCTCCTCGCCGCAACTAGGGTTTCTTAAGCCCTCACCGCCCATGGCGAGCGGCGGGGCGGCTACAACCACTTCCATCCCCGTCACCAGCAAGACCGTGTCCGCATCGCTATGGTGGGACTCCTTCGTTGCCCTCTCCGACGACCTCGACCGAGCCACTGCTGGCCCCTCCGTCCCGGACGCCCTCGTAAGTCCCGTTACTCCCTATTCCGCCTCACAGCTTCGTTCGCAGAATCATCGGCCGTAACAGTTGGCTTCCTTCGCTGCAGGCTAAGCGGATCAAAAGCCACCACGCGTGGCTCCGAGGGTCGGTCTCCATGTTCGGGAAGCCGAACGATGCGTCGAGGAGCGCACTGGACGCTGGCGAGGTTGTCGTCGGGGAGCATCGCCTCAGTGTCAAGACGGAGCTCAAGGAGGCCGCACTTCGTGCAAGCAAGTGCCTGGTAATTTTGCTTCCCCTGTCTCACTTATTGGATGGACATCATAATTAGTAGATTCTGGTGATGGCTCTTTCTTTGAGTTCCTGAAATGCCCAGATGTTTGGCTCAGAATTGCATTTAGTAGCTAAACTGTGTAGGCCCATAAGTAGATTAGTGTAAAGGGCTTGAGGTTCTGTAGAATTGCTTGAATGCTGAGTAGTGACCAAGGTTGTTTTTGTTTCCTTTACCTCGAACTTGCAATTTTAGTACCTCCTCCGTCCCAAATTATAAGACGTTTTGGCATTTCTAGATTCATAGCTTTTTCTATGTATTTAGACATAATATATATCTAGGTACGTAGCAAAAGTTCTGAATCTAGAAAAGCCAAAACGTCTTATAATTTGGAATGGAGGGAGTTGTAGATCTGTCAAATATGGCATACAGTTTCTTTGAGGGACACCCGTTGACGCTTACTGGTTTGCCAGAGTAATTGACATAACTTGGATTGATTTTTTACTTTGAGCCAGAACCCTTTGAAATCTCAAATATTGGCCTGCAGAAATTTGTAGTTATAATCATACATCAGATGACATCATTAATTTAAAATGGTCTTAGCAAAAATTTTCAGCTCTAAAGTTAGCCATGTCTAGCATTATTGCATTAATATTGGAAGGGCCACCAAGGCACCAGTATATGATTCTCACTAGAATGAGAAGTATTAATGCCCCTCTTGGTAGATATGAATTTTCCCAGGATCTCCATTAGAATGACTTTTTCCTGGATGGTCTCCCCCTAAATTCTTGCAGGAAATCTTAGTGCCAAATGGGAAGGCCTTTTGGCCATCCAATTTGACATAGATGTCTCATTTTTCATTAGCACTGACTACTGATTGACATCCTACGAAAGATCCTTTTGTTATTCAGTCTTTGCCCTGCCGTCCACTTAAGGGTATGGCTATTATTCTGTCTATGCCTCGACATGCAGTGCTCAGACAGTATTGTGCCTCGACATGTAGTGTGCAGACATTATTGTTTGTCTTCTCTTAATTTGATCTTGGTTCCTGTCATATATATTGTCAGCTTCATGATTCTCTCAAATTGTTTACTATCATTTGTTTGACAGTACAAAATATTTGTGACAACACGATATATTTCTAACATTTGGTGTACACATTTTTCCTTAGTGTTTGTCCAATAAAGCTTGGAGAAGTTGAATGGTATTAGCATGATTGTTATTTTGAAAAATACCCATATTTTCTGCTATTTGATGATAATTTTGGTCTTTTTTTGTGTACAACTATCCATATACTATCTTAGTATCTTGTTTTTTCAAACAAAAAGTTCTGTTGTGTACTTGTTGCTAAATTTGAATTCCCCCCAGAACCTGGATGAGGTGCAATCATACATTCTGGTCAAGAGATCTTCAGAAATCTCTCCAACAATCTGTGATGCTGATGCTGAGGAGTTTCTTCATCTGGTATAATTCTGTAAGATATATATATTTTCTTGAAAAGATGCTCTACCTGTCACTGTTCTGTTGATTGTAGAAACTGCAATGTCAATGCTGTAGTGTAGCTGTCCTTTGATGCTATGCAATTGTGCTCTATCCTTTCATGTTGTTTTAAGAAATTTGCAATAAAAAGAAAAAGGCATACTTGAGGCACAAGTTTGTTTGTTCACCTTAGACACGATGCCCAAAAAAGCGCATGTGAGAAACACCAGGCACAACTGTGAAACAGCAATGTTTACCCTAGTGTAAGATATAAGCATAGTTATTAACATGTTTGTTGCCATTCTTGGGCCCATGTTGTTGTAGTTAACTATTAATGACATAAAAATACATGAATTATTTGATTGCACATGTATAATTACATTGGCCTAAACCTGTCACTGGGAATGCAAGTCGATGGCATATGACACTGCTTAGGTCGTGCCTGGAGCACGACCTGTAGAGCATAGGTGGCAGTAGGAGAGCATGGACCACGGGCAAGGCGAGGAGGAAGAGTGGAGCTCATATCGCATCTGGTGCCAGCCAGTGGAACATTGCAAGTGTTTGAGAACATGGGAGAAGCGTCGGAGACAATGAGGACTAGGGCCTTCTCCTTGCAGACTCGCAGGCACTGAGGTAGCACATGCATCTGATCCCCATGCAGAGAGCACCAGAGAGAAGAGAAGGGCGAGGGAGACTGATTTTGCTAGTCCCAGGTGTGAGCTGATGTCTGCCGGTGAGGAATTTCAGGCGGCGGTGGCTCTATGACGGCAAGAGCAGAGAAAGGAACAAGAGGAATGAGAGGCGGCGGCGATTGCTAGCTATCCTGTGTGGGGATTTAGAAGGTTTAGGGGAAGTCATATTTGGCCAAGTGGGCCTTAAAATGACAGCCCAGTAGCCTATATCTTTCATCATACCTTCTTTTGTCCCCCCCTCCATTTAACTCTGTAACTTGTGATCGCGAACCTTATATGTGATAGCGAACAGATCGTCCCAAGCTACCATTCTGAAAATAGTTGGTTCATGTTCCATCTTCCATGTATCAAACCATCGTCACGAAGAGGTATACTCCCCATCGTTCTGGGAGCTTATAAAGTGTCGATCCGTGCACCACCGTACCCGTTCCTCGACCCCATGGTACCGGCAATCTTGTGACACGACAACCCCTGCCATGGCGTCACCCCACCCCCTCTCCTTTTTCCCTCTGTTTTTTTATAATTTCTGCAGTTTTGTAGTTAATTAATTTGCATTGCTTTGCTTGATTTGTGTTGGGCTGAGTGGGAAAATAAGAAGGGAAAAACACATGCTAGATGTAAGAAAGAGAGTCAGACTATCAACCAGCACCTGCTCTCTGCTCATTAGTCAAAAATGCACGCTACCTCGCAATGACAAAAAGGTGAGAAAATAATGAAGGTAAGCTTGACATAAGCATCCTCATCTTAACCACAGTTTTTGGAGCAACACAATCCCTATGACTCCATCACTGCACATAACACAAGCACAAAGCAGATAAAAAAAAAGAGCAGCACAAAGTGGGTGCTTATTCCCATGCGCCTAAGCATGAAAGATGGGCACCTTGCCTAATGCACATTTTAGGTGTCCTTGCATCACTGTGCCTCTCCTGAGCGGCCTAGCTGCCTAAGCAAGCACTTTTCTGTGATTTTTTCATCCATGGTTTCAAGTCTTGGTTTCTTCCCTCACTACACAGATTGCTAGTTCTGTTTGACATCGGAATAGCACTTATTCCAAAGTTACATTGCAATCATCTATCTATAGTTAAAACATAGTACATTGCCGCTGGGAACTCTGCTACACCCCAGATGTTTAAACAGTGGTTATTCTAATGATGAAATTAAGACCTTATAGTTACTGGGGTCTGCAATCTCTAATATTAGCACCTCTAATATCCATAAAAAAAAACTTTTGCCTCAAGTAAATTTATGATTGAAACAGTGATGTATTTTTAAAGTTTAGTAACATTTATCTGTAATGCTATTTTTATCTATTGACATCTCTAGCTAAGAAGGAATGCCATGAATTGTGGTATTTTTAGCTGCATGTTATCCATTCTCTAGGTGGAACTTATGGTGTTGATGATGAGAATATCAGTCTTGCTAACATGTTGCTAGCTTGTGGATTCATACTACTTAAATTTTGCTATAGTTTAACAGTTCCATTATTGCTATTCATGCCCTTTTAGAGTAACATTGCTTTTTCCTTGAAGGTATCTGTACAATATTACCTTGAGCGTCAGTGCTTACTGAAGTGCATCAGAAGAATCTTTGTTCATGCAAGTAAGCTGTTATTGAGCTACATTACAATGTCGAGCAGTGCAAAAATCCATTTTCACTTGTTGATTCTCTACTGTTTTTATTCTCATGTCACATTAATAATACCCCCATTCTTTTATGATTTATGGAAAAACTTTGTTAAAGACCGCGTGATTCTCATTTTCATTGAAAACACTTCCATGAAACTGTTTTTACTTGCAAATAGAGGCTGATAAGCATGCACTTACAAATCATAAACTCTTTTATTAGAGACCATAAAAGCCAATAATAACTTAATATCACATATTAAGTGAGTAATCTGCATGAATTTCGTATCAAGATGTAATCGTTTTTTCTCTCGAACACGCAGGGGAAATCAAGATGTAATGTTTGTTTCCAAATATATGTTAATATAAATTTTCCACTGAATGAATCTGTTATGACCGGCACCCATTATACAAGGCGTAGGCCCATGTTATGGCAAGTGGAGCCGGCCCAGGGGCCACGAGGTACTGTAGTACGCGGTACTGTAGCGCGTGAAGATTAGATTGGTTTGGTTTGTTATGAAAGAGATATGTTAGATTGATTCGGTTAGGATATTTACTTAGGGGTCAAGTCAGTCATCTCTATAAAAAGAGAACCCTGTATTAGTTATAGTCAAGCAGAAACAAGAATTGTTTCCGGCTTCTTGAAGGGAGCCAGGATTTCCTAACCCTAGCCGCCTCCTGCTGTGTCTCGCGCGAACAGTGCCGCCGCTACTGTAGCACCGCGAGAATTTAGGGCTGCAGCAGCAGCCGCCGCGCTCTCGCCGCCACGGCCCCTCGCCGGCGTCGAGAGTACAGACCACGTCCTCCTCTGTTCCACCCCTATAACCTACGTAGTAACACCAGTAGGGCATCAAGTCCTATCAGAATCCTTTTACCCTTATAATTCTTTTGTAATGCTGATGATTATATTTTGTGTGATTGTGATATGCATATTATTTTGACCTTGTTTAAAAAATTTCAGAACCAGTTTATGGTAGCCATGAATTATGGTTAAACATTGTAGTTGGGGATTGGATTTGACAACATATAACTGATACACAATTAAAACTTTGGGGTCATCTGGATATGTACTGTTCTACAGTTGCTTCTTTTGGGCTACCATTATAAGTTGAGTTGAGCCCATCCTTCCTGATGTGTCTGTTTTGCATGCTTGCTGCTGCTGCTGCATAGATTACCAGGACCATGTTTATTCTTCCTCTATTTCTGCTGCTTCTTACCAGCAGGGAGTGCATAGAGGTCATGGACGTTAGCAATGTGAAGGATGGCCACTGTGAGGTTGGTGAGCGTACCTATCTTGCTTTGCCTCATGCCAGCAATGGTTGGTGCAGGAAGAGGGTCATTTGTGGGGTAGTTAGGGCCTTAGGGGGCAGTGCATGCACAACGGCAGTGTAGGAATTTTTTGAGGTGGCTGCTGATGCTTTGATCAACATGGCCTGCCATGAGGGCTATCTCAGCGAGTCAGCTCCTTTGGCGTTATCGTACTTGAATACTGGGCAGGGATAGGGCTGAGGAAACATTTATGGATGTGAAGGATTATCATATTTCCAAGAATGAACACTTTAGAGTGTCATGCCCCAAATAAGAAACTTTGTGGTGGCATATCTCTAAACCTGTCACTTGTGGCATATATATCTAAATAACCCAATACTTAATTGTCATCCTTCACCCCTAAGGATATTGCTGAATTATTTCAATCTGTCCGGCATATTTTTGGTGTCTCCCCTGTCTAAAGCTTATCATTAATCATTTCAAAAATAACTCTGAATAAAAAAGAGACAAAATTATGGATCGTTAACATATGAATGCTTTTTGTAAACAGAATATATTATTTGCTAACTTTGTGTGTTAAAACTATATATCTCATGCTTTTGTTGCCGACACACACAGGTGATGGGTCTGATTCAACCGATCCCATTCGAGACGAGGCTTCATTATTGATTAGTGAAGAGATAGAAAGGAAACTGATATCCATCATTGAAGATTGTTTTTCAGCTGCATCTTCTGTAAAAGCGGTTGGTTTATGAAACTAGTGCTAATTTAGTTCAGCAACTCAGCAAGTAACATTGCATGCATTTTTCTTTTGCACCTTATAAGCCTCAAGTTCTTAGTTACTCCTTATTTACTATGCTTAGCAGTCTTGACTTTCATACGTTTTTACCGGCAATACTGATAGCTAAAATATGTTTGAAAATGATACGAGCTGATTTGTGTTCAAAATAGTTTTACAGGATTAAACTTTTGATATATTACAACAAAAAATGTAGTCAAAGTTTTGTTCTGGAGACAGTGCCGATGTCTGATATGCCAATTTGTGACTGGAGCAAGTATGATTTTGTATTGATTGTTACTTTGCTCTTGATTCCTTCATGAATTTGTTCAAATGTAGTTGTTGGAGCTTCATACCTGAGGGATATATCTTATTTGGTCTGTTTATAAAATATCTTTGTCGCTTCTGGTCTTCTGATTGTGTTTTGGATTTTGAACTCTGTAAGACTTTGTCCGTTCAAAGATAGAGGATGTATTTTGTGTTGACTAGATCTTGAAGGTTTGATTTTGACCATTGTTTTCTCATGGAATATCATTTATACTTTTATAGCTATGGTATGATTTTAGTGTTCATTTTCAAATACGATTCCAGTTACATAAAATTTATACAGTAAATATTCTTATAAATTTACTAATTGTTGCAAAAATGTGCAAACATTAGCTTTTTATTTATTTTTTAAATAAAAGGCGCCTTGTGGTTTTTACTGGAAGGGTGTATGCATGGTTATTAAGGCGGTAAGACGGGACGTGGCGAACCACCCTTTTGGTCATAAGGCGAGGCAAGGTGACACCATATGAATATGAAGAACTTCAGAGATGCAGTGTGGAGAAGGTGATAAAAGGAAAATAAAAAAGAGAAGAAAGGGGAAGAAACTAAGAGAGCCCATCCCAAGAGACCAAGCAGCCCATGTAACCTTCCCTAAGCATGACCTAGAGCTGCCAACCTCCTCCCAAAACCCCTTCCATGGCGCCGCTTCTATCTCTCCCTCCCCCCTCTCTCTCCTCCTCCCCCCTCCCGTTCACATCTGTTGCTGCCGCCGCGGCACCTCTCCTCCGATCCTCCCCGTCTCTTCCCCTCCCCTTCTCCCATGCTGGCTAAACGCCCCCTTCCAGATCTCTCTCCACTCTATGCAGATCGAGAGCTGCTGGCCTGTTGTTGCCCCTCTCACATCCCTGATGCTGCAGTTGGCTGGTGAGGACTGAGGAAAGCTGCCATGGCCATGGGAGTCAATGGGGATGGGGCAGAGATAGGAGTTTGGCCTTCACTGAGTTCTGCTGGTCCTCTAGTTCTTCCTCTTCCTTCTCCCTCCCCACCTCTCTTGTTCTGCTGGATTTTGGTCGTGGCGACGGGGACGCCCACGGTTTTTTATCGCCTGTACACCTAAGTGATGCCTTGAAAACCATGGGTGCATGTTTTAAGTCTAACATTACCTAACGTCAATCTGGCTAGATTGGGCTAGAAAATGTTTGAAAAGTTGGCATCTAGAATTTGGGGTTGTTCAGGCCCTGTACACTCTGAGCTGTGCATTACGAGTATAGTTAAGAAGGATTCAACTTCAAGTGTCTCTTATATGTTGGTGTTATTAGGGGTACTTGTAGTGCTGCAATGATGGGTGGTTTTGGTATCATTTCTACTCTGTTTGTTTGCCCTTTGTGCCATTGCAATATATATCCACTTAGATTGAGTTTTTCCCAATTAGCAGTTATATTTTATTGAACACACAGGAGTGCTGCATGTTTCTGTATTAGAATAGAAATAGAAATTAACAGTTATATAATTTCAGCAAGTGCATACTGACATATTTTTGCATGGTTTTGCACTCAGCTTAGCCTTTGAACTTATTGTGCTTGTAGATTTGCAGTGCACCTTCCAGTGTTGAAGCTGTTTTGTGGTCATAAGGCCATAATATCCTTGTTAAACTTTATAAGCATTAAACCCTCCTGCAAGGGCATGATGTACTACACACAAATGCATTATCCCCCTTGGCATCCTTCTTATATTTTCTGGCAGATTTCTCAGGTGTTAGAACTTAGATGGTGTGACTTTATTTTGCAGGAAGCAGAATTTACAGTTTCTAGTCTGGAAGAAACTTTGATTGAAGTTAACTTGATTCTTGACATATTGTTTCTTGCTTTCTATGGTAACTTCTCAAGATGTAATGGTAGACTGTGGATAACTTTGTGTTCAATTTTTAAGGTTAGTGTTTTTTCGTGGACTTGAAGTTAAATTTCTACCTCTTTTCACTTGATATAAAAAATTTGATTTCGTGAGTGTTGTTCTTTTAGGACATTCTATGTGGTTCTTATGATGTCGGGAAATTTGTTGTATCTGTTGAGGGGAAGAATTCGTTTCATTATGCTAAAGCTCAGCTACTTCTCATCCTTATTGAAACTTTGGACTTTGAGAATCTCCTCCGGATGATTCATGATGAAGTTCCTCTGAGGTATCATCTACTTTCTGATTTTATCCGGTGGCATGTTTGTGCACTGGAGTCATATTCATAGCCTTTCAGTGTAATCTGATATTTTGTTTTTGTCTCAGTGGAGGGTGTTCTGCATTTTCTGTTGGTGATATTATGGAGATGGATGTTGAAATATCAAAATTTCCTGAATTTTCAATGGTAGAATCAGGACCACTTATACTGGCTTGGGCAGTTTTCCTTTGCCTAGTTTTGTCTCTTCCAGAAAGTAACACCAATTTGGTAATGATGATATTCTGCATTACACTTTTACGATGCTATTAGACAAGTACCGTACCTCTTATTACCCTTAATGGTCCCAGGAAATTGATCATACATCTTATGCCCGACGGGCCTTTGAGTTTGCACCATTCAATTATTTACTAGGAGTTCTTTGTTCAAGCATCTTCAGGGAGTCAGATGTAAGTGTTATCCAATTGTTTATTTTTGAGTTCCTGTTACTGACAGTAATATTGCTAATCATTGTTGCAACTCTTGAGTAGTCTAATGAAGCACTATATTTCTGTAATGTTATTGATTCTTGTTTAGTGTTAGTGTAACCCCTGCTGTTAGTATAATCCATGCTGCTGTTAGTCTTTTGTTAGTGAGTCAAGGTCTCTACATTAGGTTGCAAGTCAGTCAAGTCTTAGGCTGCAAGTTTGAGTCAAGTCAAGGTCTTTTCTTAGGTTGTAAGAAAGCAACTAGGGTTGATTTCTGCACTCCCTTTTCAGCTATAAATAAGAGGTAAAGGCACCAGCAAGCTGCAGCTCATAGCAGCCCAAAAACCAGCCTCCATCATCTTACTCAAAATGAAGTGCAGCAGCAGCAACAAGCAGCTGCATATACCACTATCGATCCTAACATTTAGTACTTTTTGTTTCTCGGACACATGAGAGCTGTGTATTTATTTCATTAATAAGAGAGGAAGGAAAAATCAAACCACAACAATGGAAGAGAAACTCTCCCACCAAAAAACACACCCAAACACGCACTACACAGAACACACAAGAACAAACTGAAAGGAAGAAACTGCCCCAGAAAACAAAAAAAGGTGACACGTGACCCGGGGACTAAAATTGCATGGCCACATTAAGCGCCCTGACCAAAAGCTCTTGAGATTTCGCACTGGCTGAGCACTAGAAGACACATGCATAAAGCAATTGTCTGTAAGATTGTCCTGGTATTTGGCCTTGCTCCATTAAAAACACAATCATTTCGGTGTTTCCATATTTCCCATGCCACTAGAATGATGAGTAAGTTTAGTCCTTTCCTGATTTCCTTTGGTAAGTTCTTGATTGCCTGATACCACCAACTAGCCCCTTCTCCTGAAAGACCTGACTCCATACCTGCCGAGCACAAACATTGGAAACAAGGATGTGTTGGATAGATTCTTCAGCTTGATCTGTAGAGAATTAGGAAACACCTCACACCCATTAAGGGAGGGGTGACTTTCATATATATAGCCAGGATACAACTTGGAAACCAAGTAAGGTACATACGTAACTCTAGACTATACATCTCTCTAATACCTGCCCGCGGTCACAGCGGGAGGGAACTGGACGCAGAGAGTGGACCGAAAGTCACTAAACAACTGTACAGGCAGTCCCTTAGTCATGATGTCCGCGAATTGATGCGCAGAGGGGACATGTAGCACTCGAACCTGCCCCAACCTTCTCACCGACGAAGTGGATGTCAATCTCAATGTGCTTCGTGCGATGGTGATGAACCAGATTGGCGGTCATATAGACTGCACTGAGTTGTCGCCGAGGAAGACACAAAAGCTCGAGGTAGAACGTCGGGAGTCCGGGCAGCCTGCCCAGTTGGCATCAGAGTAGGCAGTGATGGATGACACACCACCGGTGCCTATATGGAGACCGGCATCGAGTGTGCCCTTCACATAGTGCCGATACACTTGATCAAGGCAAGGTGAGCGCTCGTGGGTCATGCATGAAGTGTCAGGCTTGCTGAACGGCATAGGCGAGGTCGGGCCGAGTCAGCGTGAACTGCAGAGTGCCAGCCAGACTCCGGTACTCCGAGGGGTCAGCAACATGGTCGGGTTGGACTGAGTCAACTGGAGTCGCTGTGGGGTGACACTCAGCCATGCCAGCCTGCTGGAGAAGATCTACGGCGTGCTGTCGCTACGACAAGAGCAAGCCGTCGGAGGAGCGTGTGACGGAGATGCCAAGAAAGTGGTTGAGAGCGCCAAGGTCTGTCATGGCGAACTCGGAGCTGAGATGATCGGTGATGCGTCGTAGTAGAGCAGAAGAGGACGCCGTCAGTACAATGTCGTCGATGTGGAGCAGCATGTAGGTGACATTGTCTCCACCACGCCGCCCCGTCCCGCCCCTCCCCTCCCCGCCCCGCTCTGCCTTCCTCGCCGGCCTTCTCTTCCTCCCTGCCTCTGTTGCGCCTCTCCACCTCCCCCACACCCCCTCTCTGCCTTGCCCGCATCCGCCCCGGCCTTCGCTGCACCCTTCTCCGCTGGGCAGCTGTTCTCCATTGCCGAGCTCGCCGAGATATGGCCTGCCGTCACCAAGACCGAGGCCGCCAAGCTTGCCGAGACCAAGCCCGTTGTCGTCCTCCTCCACGCACTGCTGCAACCCTGTCCTCTGGCGGGTTGGGAGCGGAGCTGTCGAGGGAAGCTCCACCACACGGCACTGGGAGCAGTGGGGAGCGGGAGCGGGAGCTGGAGCAGGAGTGGGTTGGGAGCTCTGCCAAACTGGCCCTTAATATTTGGATTCTTGTGGATAATAAACCTTCACTTTAATTCTGGACGACCAAGAAATGTCCTATGCAATGTTTTCAGGACGGCTGGTCGAGCCTGGACGCCTAAGGACCGTCCAGGACGTCCAGGACGATTAATCGACCCTGGACGAGTCCCCTGGTCGTCCCCTACATATGGGGACTGATATATACCATATATATATATATTATATAGTTATATATACAGTATAAAATATATACCATACACACACACACACACACACACACACACTAGTATACTACATGTTCTAGGCTCTACTGCTCTAGATAGATAGGTCAGCTGGCCACTTACCTGGCTGCTGCAGAGCCCTTTCTTGTCTTGTTGGCTGCTGCTGCCAAACTGAAATTATAGAAAAATAAAGCACATTAACAAAGGCAATTAGGTGAAAGGCAATGAAGTGATCAACAAAGCAAATTAACTCAGTAAAGCACATAATTTAAACCAGTCCAGAACTGCATAGTGCATAGTGGCACACTGCCACTGCCATAGTGCATACTGCATAGTGCATACATCAAGTCCAGTACATAAATAGGCAAAATGGCCAATGATAAGAACTACTCAAGTAAATCAGCATCTACACGAAAGCCTCCTCCATCTCCACGGGTGTCTTCATCCTCCTCCATTGGTACCACAGGATCAGATGCATGTTGATCTTCTTGTACACTTCCACTGCACGCAGCCGCTGTCGATCCAGATCTACACAAGTACACAAAGAAAGAGAGCATAAGCTTCAAGCACAGGTAGAGCATCAAGCTTGAACGAGGAGGTGATGACTGATGACTGACCTGAGGAGGAGGAACTCATCTTCGTCGTGCAGTCCTCCTACCTTGCACAATTGGACCTGTGCACCCGCTGGATCTGTAGGCCTGCGCGCCTGCAGCAGCAGCCGCAAGGAAGAGGGAGGGCAGCTGGAAGGGAGGGAGGAGAGGGAGCAGCTGGGAACTTGAAGGGAGGAGAGGAGAGGGAGCTATAGAACTGCAGCAATGGAGGTGGCTGCTGCTGCTGGACGGGAGAGGTGAGAGGAGTGAGTGTGTTCTGCTGACTTCTGAGTGAGTGAGAGGCTGAGGGAGTGAGGGGTAGGAAAGAAGAGAAACCCTAATGGGATTGGGCCAAAATATAAGACAACTAGATAGGCCCAACTCTGAGATGCAGCCCACTCTCTGGCTGGACGCCCACACAGCCTAGACGGACGATTAATCGCGACTGGACGACGACTAATCGGACGTCCAATTTCCTGGACGGTCTGGCTGAGTCGGAGGCCCTGGTCGAGTAGCTCCAACCGTCCAGGACGATTAGTCGCGATTAATCGCGATTAATCGGACGTCTTGAAAACATTGGTCCTATGTGCCATTTCTGCTAAATTCAAGGGATGATAAGACCAGTTGCTTGCACTATGAAAATGACATTGATTTGATGATTCATGTTGAGTTGTTGACACATTTTTTCTAGCTTCTGTTTCAGAAATGGAAAAATATGTTGTAGATGTTTTATGCACCCATTATGAAGTCCATGTTGATTCTATGAAATACATTGTAGATCTATTTATTAAGTAGCAGAGTGCACATTCTAGATCTGTTTATTATGTAGCAGATCATTTAATTAAGTCAAAGCTTAATTTCAGGGTCCTGTTTCTGGTTATCAGGGTATATTACGTACATTCATTTCAGCATTCATTGCTTCATATGAGGTATCTTATCAGGTAAATGCAAATCTATTGGTTAGTTACAGTCATGTTTAAATTAACTCTTGGTGAAGGTAATACTAAGGAGCTTAACTGGTTGGTTGCATTATTTTCTGTGCAGAAAGAAGACAGTTCTCTTGACATGATTTCAAGTATTTTATGTGAAGTTTATGATGGAGAGGTATTAATATGATTATTGTGACTGTTGATGTGGAATAATTTATGCATGAGTACTATAGAAATCATCTTATGGTCTTTTAATTGTCCAGGAATCTCTCTGTATGCAATTTTGGGATAAAGATAGTTTTGTTGATGGTCCAATCAGATCTGTTCTTCATATGTTGGAGAAGGAGTATCCTTTTCAGATATCTGAACTAATACGCTTCTTATCAGCAGTTTGCCATGGGACCTGGCCTGCTCATTGTGTGTATGTTGTCCTTTTTTCTTTCTTTATTTTTTGGCACTACTGTGTCGGGATTGATGTTCCTTCCCCAATAGAAAACTTGTGTCCTTCCTATCTTGTGCCGCGTTGATTTCCTCTATGTTGTTAGTGTGATATGGTTTACTCAGACAAACATAACTTAAATATGGATGATGAATCTGGTGTATTTGATAAGAGAACCTTTATTATCTCATGTCAAATTCATAAATTGCTTTTGAGCGAGTACTGTTATTTCATTTTTTCTCTGATATCAAGTTTTTGGAATAGTGATGATGTTTTTCACTGCCATGTCATGAGCATGAATTTGTAATTTCTTTATCTGTAGGTGAAATATATAAAAAACATTCAGAATTAGTGATATTATCAGTACTTAGGCTGTAGTATACAAGCCATCTTGGTTTGCAAATTGCAACATGCAGAATGATCCTTACCAACGATTTCATTCCCTTATCAAGAATTTTATCTTAGCAAAATGTAATTAACTTTTTTGGTATTTCAAGAGTTGCTGATGTGGTTTTGTAAATTTTTGTTTAAAAGCAATGGAAAAAAGATCATGATATTCTTTGCCACGTGATGTAGTAATGTATTTCAATATTTTTGGGGCTTACTTCGTCGCAGATATAATTATCTTGAGAGGATGAATGGAGTTACAACAATCTATACGATCCCTTGTGTTGCTGACGGTGTGGGTTATGGCCATCAAATTGAAAGTCATCATCCAGTCAGCATTCCTGGTATTGAAGGCATTACAATTCCCCGTGGAACCCATGGCTACATTTTGAAAGTTCTTCAAGAGGATACTGTATTAGTTCGCTGGGAGGTAGACTATCTTCTTTGTACTACCATATTTACTGTATCCTTGCATGCTTCCACATTTGTTTTTAGACTCAGTTTCATGTGTTGCATCTTTACGACCTTTGTTTGATTTTGTGATTATTATATATAAAAATTATTTGCTGCTTCTGGGTCGATTGTCCTTTATGTTTGCATGTTTTTGCATTCATTTGGTGCACCTTTATGCCCTATATTCAGTTTTCATGATTATGGTAACAAATTCTGTTTGTTGCTACTAAATTGCTTGTTCTTCTATTTGGTCGAGGACAACAATTTTCTACTTTAATTGATTAATTGACTAGATTGTGCTCCAGTAGATGACAAAAGTGTTGTAACGTAACCGCTTGACAAGGGAGATCAACAAATGACAATAATAAAATAAGGGAACAAGAATATAAAATAACAATTGTTTTTCTCAAATTATGTAGGAGAGCTGTGTGCCATTTCATTAATATAGAGAAAAGAGTACAATGGGCCAAAACACAGAGGCCCAACCCAAGTACAAAAAACCACTCACCCACACGCCCTAGGAAGCTAACAGACAGCAAACATGCCACAAACAGACAAAGAAAACTTGACCAAGGACCATCAGAGCCTAAGATGCTGTGATCTCACCAGGAAATCTCCGAGTTTCGATGCCCTGCCAAACACCACACTCACCCCCAATGTTTTCTGATCGGCTTATCATTCCTAATCGGTCTGGTACCGATTAGGACGATCAGGACGATTAATCGACGATCAGGACGATTAATCGACCTCTGATCGGTCTAATCGTCCATATAATCGTCCAGCATATAGCAGGGCTATATAAGTATATATCATATATGTATGGTATATATATAATATACCATATACTATATATTTATATAGTAGACATCGAGCATATTTCTGGAGGCATTGCTGCTATAGCCTTTTCTACTAGGGCTGAAACATCTGGAGCCGTTGAGGATGCTAAACCAGCACCACCTGATGCAACTGATGAGCTTGCACCAGCACCTCAAGCTGCCGCCTTCGATTTTCATCTACGCAAGTTCAGCAAAGAGCCAAAGGAACAAATCATCAAGATTTGAGCATAGTGCAGAGGAAAGGAGATGACAGAAATGACAGAACAAAGCCGATTTAATGACACCTTCAGAGGAGGAGCTCATCTTCGTGCTCCTTGGACCTGCAGCCTGCAGGTGGGAAAGAGAATTGGCGACCCTGCAACAGAAGGGAGGAGGAAGCAACAAGCAGCAGGGAAGATCCACGGATGGGCTGCTTGGATTGGAACTGGAAGGGAGGGAGGAGGGAGTGAGATGCACACAGCAGGGAAGAGATGGAGCTCAGCTGCACACACAGCGGGAGTGAGGAGTACTGAGGACTGAGGAGAGAAAGAGTCGGGGTGTGGTATATAAGAGAAACCCTAATGGGCCTGGCCCAAATAAATATAGCCCAGTAAACTGAAGTAGCCCATCTGCCTATTTAGTGCTGATCGGCAAAGAGACCTAATCGGATGATTAATCGCGAGTAATCGACGATTAATCGGACGATCAGGTTTCTGATCGCTCTGATCGAATCGGAGGGCCTAATCAAGCGCTAAGTACCGATAAGGACGATTAATCGTGATTAATCGGACGATCAGAAAACATTGCTCACCCCTAACAGCTTAGAGGAGCCCAGGCATGTTTGGTGGAGCCCCATAAAAAAACACAGGAATTCTTATGCTTCCAAACTTCCCAAGCCACAATAATGATTATAGAATTCAAACCCTTGCACAACTCCTTGGGAGAGCTCCTGTTGGTGTCCCCCCACCAGGTAGAGAAGTGCCACGCAGTTGCAGTAGGTGCAACAGCAGCCAGGACCAAACTCTGCAGGATCAGAGACCAAATTTGCCAAGTGAAAACACAGGAGAGCAGAATGTGATTGATTTGTCTCCTCGGCTTGATCACAAAAGGGGCAGGCAACTGGGTGAGGCGGGCCACCCTTTGCGAGGTATCCACCATCCAACACCTGTTGTTAATGGCCGACCAGATGAAAAAATTGCAGCTCTAAGGGGCCCAACTCCTCCAAATCCTCCTCCATGGGGCAAATTTTATGGTGGCCATGACATGCTGGTATAAGTGCCAGATCGTGCCAGCTTCCAACGGTGATGATCCTGAATATCTTGTTGTAGGACAAAACCATCCACTAGGTCCCAAATCAGTAAGTACTCCACCAAAACCTGTACCGTTAATACCCCCTCGGTGTCAGACACCCATCTTCGATTGATCAAGGCTTGAGCTACTGTCCGACACTTCATAGTCCTTTCTGAAACAGACTTGAACAGATTGGGTGCTAAGGTCTTCCCATTCAACCACCGGTCAGCCTGGAAACGAGTGGACTCTCCATTTCTCACAATTGTTTCCACAGCCATATGAAACAGAGCTTGAGCATTATGTGGAACCTGAATTGGTAGACCAGCCCAGGGCCAAGAAGGGTCAGTTTTTTGAGCCCATAACCATCGTATTCTTAGAACACAGCCAAGAGTTTGAAGATTATGAATTCCCAAACCCCCATATTCAAGAGGCTGTTGAACCCTTACCCAAGAAACGAGGCAATTGCTACCATTTGCTTGTTCTTGACCTTGCCAGAGAAAACCTCAGTGCTTATTGTCAATGGTTTAAATAATCACCCACTTTGGATGATTGAGGGCAATCATATGATAAATGGGAGTAGCTGTCATCACCACTTGGATCGTTACTTGATCAGGGAAGCCTTCCGTCCTGGGAGATGATCTGCAATTTTATCAATCGGTGCTCAGTGGTAGGGTTGTAAATGGTATGGATATTTCCTGATTGACCATCCGACTGAAGGGCTTCATCATATACTAAATGGATAACCTGCGTCCGAATGCAGACATTCAATATTCATACCCTATCTGTATACTCAAAGTCGAATATATATGATGTTAATATCCATTCCTATCTTATCTGACACAGCTGACACTATCTGTACCCCAATCCGAATCCGAGAAAAAAAGTAACTATCTGTATTTGTATACGTAGGTTTCCGATCCGTTTACACCCCAGCGGCAAGAGCTCGGTCGTAGTAGCCTTATGAATAGTCAGTGGGTGGCCCCGCCAACTGCATGGGAAATCCCTGATAGCACAGGATATAACTGCCGAAGTGTACTGCAGGTCCTTGTCAGAGCAATGGATTGAAGTAGCTGACTAGCTGAGCTTTTAGACAAATTAGTTCCAAGGCCGGAGGCATGGCCAAACAAGTCAAGGACTGAAGGAGCTTGTTGGTCTGGAGATCAGTACAAGATGGCCTCAAAAAGATCACAGTAATTAAATTTGAGGCTCTTGACTCAGCATAAGGAATCAACAGGAACATTTACGTAATGAAGATAGTGAAACATCACATGAACTAATGTATTAATTAACATTATCATATGAAAGAGGAATTTCGAAAATAATGAGAACAGCACAAAGAAACATGAAACAAGTCTGCTATGGCTGCCTGGTCCTGATTTCTATGGAAAGTTAACTGTGTTCTGTTTTTGGTTTGCTGCTACTAAATTGTTTGTTCTTGTAACTCGTCATTTATGTATAATTCCGTTGCATAGGAGGCCTACTCGATCACCACTTACAAACAAGAAGAAACAATTTAAGTATCTAGTTTCTCCCCTCCTAAAATAGGCCTCATGCCGAATGGCATATCAATGGCACATGACTTGCCCTTAGTCCTTGGACTCATAGCCAACCAATCATGCAGCATTGTAATTGAAGCCGAACTGTTCTGTTGAGAGTTCAATGGTCTGACCATAGGTTGGACCAGCGCACTGCCAATTTGATAATATTACAAGTCGCATGCTGTCACACCAACTATTTTTGTGGAATGATAGGTACATTGCTTTCCTCCACCCTGGCTAGGGTTGACCTTATTTCTGCCTCCTTTTTCTGTGATTATTACTTTCACAACGTTCACTTATACTCCCCGCAACTCATGTGATTCTATGCTGCAAATTTCTGGAATGCTATGGTTAGAATCCACCCATTTTTTGTAGGAAAGCCACTGGTTTAATTTCTTTAGGGTTTCATGGTAGAGTGTTCTTTAAATTGAGCCATTCCAGACTGGCATCAGTTCAGTTTTCCTGTTTGAGTCATAGTTCCAGTTTGGTCTTGATAACTTGCCATGCACAAAGTGTCCAGATTCCAAAATAATATCGGGGAACATCGTGTTAAGTGTCCATAGGTGAATTTTGATTTTGAGTGTGGTCTAGCAAGGTGCCACACCTGCAGAATTGCAATAGCATAGCTCCACATTTTTTTTTATTTGATTAACCTCTCTGGTTTCATATATCATTTAAAGGTAGTTCTACTGTGAAAAGCAGATAATGTTGATTGATTATTGCTCTCGCTACTAGTTGATTTTCTGCATATTTTTGCTGACATAGCTACATTGGTCTAGTTCCCGCATTCTGGGGTATTCTTTTTGCTCATAACTCTGGCGCAAGAGCTCCATTCTTGCAATTACAAGGAGGCATCTGATATCATGGACCTACTTTATCGGATGGTGTCGTCAAATAAGGTATTGCCACTTTGTTCTATGGCCTACATCACGAGTTGCTAGGCTGTTTTGGTGCACCTAATGGATATATCAATTCATTGTGTTTATATTAGAAAGACTATGACGGGTTCAGTCTTCGTTTGTTCCTATTGGTTTTCTTTCGTTTAAGATTATGCAGTTTTTATGCTAAGTATGATGTATTGTTTTGAAACTTGAATATATAGGACCTGTGCTTCGCTTTGTTGCATGTTGACCAGTCACCGGCTGTTCAAACATCAAAGAACTTAGGTGAAATTGAAAATCATATCAGGTTTGAAACATATCCTCAGCTTCAATTTAGTACTTTGGACATTATATATTATCAAGTTATATTCTTTGTTCTTATCAGGATTGATATTGCTAAGATATTTTGCAATTCCATCTTCAAATATGTGCGAGATGTTAATAATGCTGACATATTGTCCAAAACCCTTGTTCTGCTGGCAGAAATGATAAAATGGTAAGTTGGTTTCTCTTACTTTGTTCCTATAATTGAAATGGCTATGAACTTTTGTAATGAAGCTGAGCATTTGTTTTGTACTGTGCCTGCTGGCCAAGACTTAGGACTATTGTGTGTCTGGGTGACACTTGCAAAATTTTATGAATTGGTAGAAACATATTTTTCATACATTCACGATAATTGGGTGATTGTTTTGGTGACACATGTAAAATTTATGAATTGAAGAACCATTTGTTGTATTTGGGTGACAGTTGCACCATTTTTTGAATTGGGAGAAACACTTGTTGGTATGTTTGTTAATTTGGTGGCTATGTTTATAAACATTCTATGGATTGTAATTTGTAATGACCAAACAATTGATTCATGTATAGTAGAATGGTAAAAAGGATAAAGCAAACACAATAGCAGCTATTCTGGGGCTAACATTGTTTGTACATAGTAAATGCATTCATTGCTTGAAGAACAGATTTGTAGTTACTTTGATCCATTTATGGTTTATTAACATGAGTTGTGTGTATTCGTAATTTTTCTCGAACACACAGGCCATGTGTATTCATATCTGCTACAGTGTGTTTGGTAGTGTTGGATTGCAATCTGATATTGTCATATGTGTATAGGGCGCTGTCTTGCCCTCTTAGTCTATGTATCCCATGGATGATGCCCAATCTACTATGCTTTCTTGGTATCATGAGTTTAGGTTTTGTTCCCGAACCCCAAGGCTAACGCTGCTGTGCCGCCCCTGGGGAGATTGATCTCTGCCAGGGGCAGCGCGGCTGTATTGGGCCAATCTAGTTGATCTGTAGCATGGGGTGGCGGTTTCATTTTTTTCCCCAAACCCTAAGGCTAACACTGCTGTGCCGCCCCTGGGGAGATTGATCTCCGCCGGGGGCAGTGCCGTATTGGGCCAATCTAGTTGATCCGCAGCATGGGGTGGTGGTTTCAAGCATCCTCCATTCTGCATCGTCAGGCAGATATACCATGGGCCCTGTGACCATCTTGCGACCTGTTGCATCGTGCAGGTGCCACCGTTCGGGCCATGCCTTGTTCTCCCATGCTGCCGGTTGGGTTGCGCCGTGGTTTGTTGTGTTGAGATGTTGCTGTTTTTCCCCCAATGTTTTGTTTGCCAATCCCTCCCACATTATTCAGTCGCTGGCTCTCCCAAGGACAAGGTTTTTATCACATGCCCTCCCAGGCAGCAATGTCGTTGCTCGTGGTCAAGCCACCTTCACAGTTGCCACTTATCTAGGCTGGTGCCACCCTTGTTGGTCCTCCTCGTCACAGTTGGCTCTTGATCAAAGTCCCTACTGCCGCCACCTCATGGACATCGCCGCTGGTGTTGCTAACGGATGAGGCATGAGCACTTGTTGATATGTCCGAGCAGCCTCTTCTACCTTCACCATTCGATCGAGTCATTGTCCTATTGCAGCCGTCCGCAGGAAGCTAGTGATTGTGTACTCGTGCCTCTGTTGATGCTTCAGACCAGCACCTCCCTCTATGGCTTTGACCATGTCCACTTTGACCTTTGGCTACCTTGAGGACAAAAAGGGCTATAGTCCACATCAGCTACTCGTCAGTTTCTATTCCAGTCACTGCATTTGCAATGTGACGTCGTTATGACTGCACGAGGTGTTAGTCTTCAATTTCTTCTCCAGTCTGACTGCCCACAATGCTCTCACTATGACTGCCAGGGTATGTTAGAGTATGTTGTATATTTGTTGGTTTGGGGTTGTAATTCGATATTGCCATATGTTTCCGGGGAGGTGTCTGTCCAAGTCTTTGTACTCTATACCGCCCGAGAGGCTTAATGCAAATAATGCATTATACCAAATGTCTGAATCTACTATGCTTTCAATACAAACTTACAAGGTAAAAGTGGGAGTACTGATAAACACTTAAATAACTATATTTTTGTTGTAACAACAAATAGCCAAATGCTCACTTTCTATCGGTCCAAATGGCATTTTTGGTTATTTATGAAATTCGAATATTTGACGTCTCATTCAGTAGAAGTCTCTTTTTGGTTCTATTCGTGTTGAGTAATTAGTATGCTTATGAGTTATAACATGTCATAACTGATGCTTATTGTTTTGGTAGGAGCTCAAGCAAATGTAGTAAAATTACTTTTAGACTCACATTGTAAAAGATCCTATCTAGCGAAACTGTCCTTTTTGTAAAGCTCTTAATTAATGAGCTGTTACTGTGTCTATTTAGTGCTCCATATCACGTGTTTGATGCGGCGTTTGAGTGCAACATCTTCACTTCACAATTAAATGGTCCATCAAGGTACTTTTTATTTTCATTCTGTTTGAATTATTTGGTGTATAATTGAACATGGTACATCAGAAATACCCTTACTGTATGTTTCTGTATTTTTTTGTTTTCATTCTTGAAAGTGAACTTCCAAAATATGACTGCTGCAATTACCTTTGCAGTGATTGGTTACTTTCTGGTGCCCTAGCTAGAATGCTTTTTGCTGCCTCTGAAGGAAATGGAGATTGTTCTTCACTTACATCTTCAGGCATGTATTATTATTCAAGATAATATTCTTCTTCTTCTGAGTTTCAACATTTTTTATTTTTCATTTTGAATGCCATTTCTAGCTGTATTTTCAATCTGTTACAGTTGACCCAACATGGTAGATTAAATGCTCATTGGTTTTTTTGGTTGGTTCCTTTTTATTAGTGTACGAGGAATACCATTTTCCTGATTTTTTGGAATACTAGGAAAATCTGTCTTGAGCACTGTATGTTGATAATGGCAAAACCTGTCTTGAACGTTGTATGTTGATAATGAGAATTACTACTACTGGCTTCTTGTGGTGTACTGCAGGCGCGAAGGAGCTCCAGAGGCTATCTCTGGACTCTGGGCTAGGCCGTTGATGCTAGTTTTTGTCGTTTTATTTGAATAGCTCACATGTAATCTTTGTCTAGCATGTGGACTCATGTTTTATGTTTTAGAGTTAATTGGACCTGTGCTATTATTATTTTTTCTGTGGAATGAGGCAGGACCTCTACCTAATCTATGCCATTATAATTTCTCTGGTTTTGAAACATGCCATTACTATTTGTGATGATTGAATGGTGCTACTACAATTTACAAGTATTCAAGAAAAAGAAAATCACTAAAATGATATAGCTACTACTGCATAATTGAGAAGAAAAATACTGCTACAGTTGACATACAACTTGACTAGGTCCTGGTGACCTGGTTCTAGAAAAGCAACATCCACATATATGTAAAACTATTTGGTTTACACTGATTTTTGTTCACTTTTGCCCACTCAGTAGTCAATTTATTTTCTCATTTAAGCATATGAGTCAACTATTTTGAAAAGTGTGGAATAAATTGAAAGAAAATTAACGATTTTGGCATAATAGTATCCTATATGTAAATCTAACACCAAACTATCCATTTGGGGCAAGTTCAGAATCTCATGATTGTAAACAATTCAGTTTCTGTTTCTGACCCCTGGATGGCTGGATGTATATGTTTTGAAACATAGCGGAGCTCTTCGAAAGTATGTTGTACACTTAAGGCATAAATAAAATTAATAGACTTAAGCAAAAGTAAGTTCTCTTGGTTGAGAACACTATGGACTGTTCAGTCTTCCCTTGCCTTAACTCTACAATCTACATATGTTTTCGTTCTTTAGCATTGGTGATGACCTGATCCATTGCTATATTTGCAGTGCTTGATTTTACCATTCAGGTTCTTCGGAAAGGAGCAGCTGCTGATGATATGATATCACCTTTAATTGTTTTCTCAATTCAATACATCATGGTTAATCATGTGAACTGGAAACACAAGGAATGTAGTCGTTGGAAAACAACCCTTCGGGTATGGTTTTTTTATTATTCTTTTATGCTTGTTCAATGTAATGATAGTATAGCTTGTTACCTGTGATTTTTTTAGTACTTGTGAGTCATAGCCCTTTTTTTTTTCTGTCGATTGAACTTAATAAACATACTGTAATCCACTTAGTTGGCTGTGATTCTTATTTCATTTTAGTAGATTTCTTTTAGAAACATTTCAGTTTTGTTGACCTTGTTTTCATTTGTTGTTACCATTGATAATAGAGAAGCTAAATATTGCCACTGAACTGTAATTGACTAGGTGTTTGAGTTGGTGAAAAGCTGTATTCAAGTAAAACCATTCTCATCAAAGCTTGGTGGCATCATTTGGGAAATTCTACTATATGATTCATCTGTCTACGGTGTACTCTGGAGCATATTATCTGTGTCAACACAATTACTGCATGTAAGGATATTCTTTCTGTTAGTATTATTGACCATTAGCTTTGTGACCTTTACATGATATCTGTTAAGAAAATTTCAGGACTCATATAGGAGCAATTATCATGGTCTTAAGGATATTGAAGATATCCAGCTTGTCCTTTGCAATGGACTTGATATTATATATCACATCCTGTCCAATTTACCAGAGGTAAAACAAGGACGACATCTTGTTATGTCATTTTCAATGTACATTTTACAACACATCGATATTTTGCTTATACAGTATAGTTTTCTCCATTGTTGTAAACTATGTTTACAGCTACACATTTGTTACATGTGATTATTGCTGTGAATTTGAACTAAGCTACCATCATGTGCAGCATACTACTATACTTAATACTAATTGTGAGCTACATATAAGAAGTAATAAAGAGCTCAAATGGACTAACTATTGTTGGCATTACACATAATGAAACCATACCTATTGTGCTTTCAAAGTGTTATCAATGCTTGTTATATTAAATAAACTAGATACTCTCTGTTATCAATGCTTGTTATATTAAATAAACCAGATACTATCTAATTGTGTTTCCCTGAAAGCATCCAAGTGATTAATGACCTGCTAGATTGTTAAATTCAACTTCTATCTGAAAAACTTTAGTGAATCCCATGGTACTCCTTTTTTAGGCAGGGATGCTATATTTGCACTTTTCACTAGCGCAACTTCTTAATATTTGCACTTTTCAATAGCGCAACTTCTTAGAAGGTGCAAAGTTTGATGTTGTGTCTTACTATCTCTGGTCATAAATACTATATGTTTTGGCATGATTCAGTCAATCTTTTGACACTCTGAGCAGGAACAAGTTTTAAAGTATTAAGTTTGGAAACATGACATTCGTATGTGTAGATTTGTCTTGAAAAATTCTTTCACAATCTCATAATTTATATTCTAGTAGAAAACACTGGTCAGTTGTACACGTTGGAGACCATATCATGTTCAAATCTGTCAAGCAGTTTTTACTTTTTGGAAAAGTCAAGCAGTTTGTACTGTGGGGAGTATTTTCTTAAACTCTGTTTAGAGCATGCTGACAAGAATTACTTTGCATATGGTGTTGAATAGCCAAAGGGCCTCTAGTCCAACTAGTTAGAGCGTCTTAGCGACACTCCTCAGGTCCTGGGTTTGACTCCCTGTGGGAGCGAGTTTCAGGCTGGGGTTAAAAAAATCCTCTCGTCTGTCCCACGCCAAAGCACAGGTCTAAGGAACGGCCCCGTTCTCACAGGGCTACGGTGCCGCTATGTATGGGTGGGGCAGGGGTTCGGGGGTTTTCTGGACCTGCGTGAGAATATCTTTTTCTTCTTAATGCAATGCCCGGGGGTGGTCATACCCCCGCAGTTGCAGTTTTTTATATGGTGTTGAATACAGTTTTAAATAAAAGGCCAGTTCATTACATTGAACTTAAATTGAAAGATTAGACCATCACAAGGTCCCTTTATATGGGTTATTAGTCATGAAACACTAAAGTCATTGTTTAAAGTACAAATAGTTTGCCAATAGCACAGGACACCAGCATGTAGCATTGAGCAAGGAGAAATTTGGTGAGTCTTGTCTTTTCTGCTGTCATCATGGTTTCATGGACAGACCCTTCAATTCCACGTGCTGAAAAGGTATCTAAATTGTAAAACCATGTACAAGGCTGCCTAGAATACTACTGGAGCCATTTGATCACCCTCATAAGGATGCCAAAGAAGCAACTGTACACACCTTTAACATCAGTATGTTTGGCTAATAGGACATTCAATTGGTTCTATGGAAATGTTGAGCTGATACTGGATAGTAGTATTTCATTTCTGGTTCGCCTGTCATAGTTTGGCAGGGATGCCATTGCTATGTTATGCTGTATTTTTTTTTTGACTCTTGTTATTCTTTCAGGATTTACTGCCAAATCCACCATTCATTACCATGGTTTTGTCATCTTCATTGAAGCCATTTTCTTTTATCACATCTCTAATATCATTGATGTCCTTTCGTAATTCTGTAAGTCTACATTTATGTGCCTTGAGCAGAGTCTTTGCATTTATTGTACTGAGTTCAACACTTCTCCACATGACGTAATGTATTGTTTAATTATGGCCCGTCAAGAATGTCATGTATCCTGTCATGTTATCTATGTTTGTGTTCTAAGGTTAATTGCATAGTTTACAGTCTTCGAGGGGTGTCTCTAGAGGTCCTAGGTCAACTATTTAAAAATGACACATGTAACACTTGTTTCACTGTAGAAGTTCATCCATGTGAAACAAGGTGATACGGCGTGCTTTGCTACGGAGGTAGTAGGGAGGCGAGGCTAGGGCGCGAGGTCCTGAATCACGGCGTCGAGTTGGAGGCGCCGTGATCGAGCAGATGGTAGGGCAGTAGCACGGCAAGACAAGTGACGCCTGGGCGCCCAGGGAAGAGATTAATCTTAATCCCAGGCTGCTTTTCTCAATCGTAATTATGTAGTACTTATACAAGCAATCCTCAACCGACTAGACTCTGACTTACGCAAATAACAACTGACTTAAATAAATAACAAACTAAAGATAATAGTCCTAGATTCTCGGACTTGCTAACCGACTTGGCTTGGTGATCACGAACCACCGTAGCAACTCCGGACTCTAGACACGGTTCCTACGCTCGTACGTATTACCGATCATAACATCTCTCCCCTCCTTGGGAAACAGCTCGTCCTCGAGCTGGAACGAGGGGAAACGAGCACGGAACTCGTCCACAGGCTCCCATGTGGCGTCGTCTTCAGGTAAGGAGTCCCACTTGATCAACACGTGCCAGACGCCGCGGCGAAGCTGAGAACGCAGAGCACGTTCTGGACGATGAAGCAGACGACCATTATGGAGAGGAGGCAGCGCCGGTGTAGACATAGGAGGGGTGCCCTTGAAGGGCTTGAGAACTCCGATATGAAAAACGTCATGGATCCGGGCTCCCTCTGGCAGACGCAGGCGATAGGCGACCTCGCCCACGCGTTCCACAATTTGAAACGGACCTGCATAGCGGGGACTCAGCTTCCCACGCACACCCGGTAGAAGGGACTGAGCTGGTCGGTTCAGAAGGCGCAGGAGAACCCAATCGTCGACCTTGAACTGCAGAACCCGGTGTCGGGCATCATAGTGCCGCTTGGCGTATTCCTGCGCCTGGAGTAGCCGGTCGCGAACTTCTGCGAGGAACGTGTCACGGTCGGTCAAGAGCCTGTCCACGGTGCCAGTCCGTGCTGTACCAGTCGTGTATGGAAGAAGGACCGGTGGGGCACGGCCATAAACTACTTCGAATGGAGTGGTTCGGAGTGCGGAGTGGTAACTCGTGTTGTAACAATATTCAGCCCACGGCAACCAGTCCAACCAAGTCCTCGGTCGATCATTAGTGAGACACCTCAAGTACATTGCAATGGTCCGATTGACGACCTCGGACTGCCCGTCGGTTTGAGGGTGGAAGGCAGTACTCATCCGCAACTTGACCCCGGCGAGCTTGAAGAGGTCGCGCCAGACGTGGCCTGTGAACACCGGGTCACGGTCACTTACAATGGAGGCCGGAAACCCATGCAGCCGGACTATGCCGTCAAAGAACGCCCTTGCCACCGTTGCTGCTGTGTAGGGGTGACTTAAAGGGAGGAAGTGCGCTTGCTTCGAGAACCGGTCGACCACTGTCAAGATGACACTCTTCCCATGAACGCGGGGAAGGCCCTCCAAAATCCATGGAGATATCGGACCAGACCTGGGAGGGGACTTCCAAAGGTTGAAGGAGGCCGGCGGGGTGCAGATGCTCCGTTTTGTTGCGCTGGCAAGTGAAACAAGAACGGACAAATTCTTTGACAAGGCGGTGATCGTGGTCGACCACAAACTCCCTGCGTAGACGATGGAGGGTCCTTTCTGAGCCTTCATGACCCACGCCGTGGGCTAACTGGAGGACCTCGGGCAAGAGTGCAGACCCTGCTGGAATGAAGACACGGCCGCCCCGCTTGATCAGTCCATCAGTGACTTGCCAGGGCTCGCCGCGTGCAGCTACCACGGAGTCCCGGAGGGCGCGAAGGTCGTCATTGACTTGCAGCTCATGACGAAGGTCCGTGAACAGCTGGAAAGTTGGCTCAGACACGGATTGAAGCTGCAGGTCAACATCAGTACGTCGTGATAATGCATCGGCGACCACATTGAGACTGCCTGGTCGATACTCCACCGCAAAATCATATCCGAACAACTTGCTCACCCATTGGTGTTGGGGTACAATAGAGAGGCGTTGATCAAGCAGGAATTTGAGGGCATAATGATCTGTGCGCACAACAAACTGTCGTCCCCATAAATATGGTCGCCAGTGCCGGACAGCTTGGACGAGACCAATAAGCTCCCGCTCGTAAGCTGCTAATTTGAGGTGCCTAGCTGCAAAAGGACGGCTGAAAAATGCTAGTGCCCCGGCACCTCGATGAAGAACTGCACCAAAACCCGTCCCGGATGCATCGCAGTCGACGACGAAAGTCTTGTCGAAATCTGGCAGATGAAGCACAGGCGCCACCGAGAGCGCCTTCTTGAGGGCATCAAATGCTTCAGTGGCTGCTGGCGTCCAGAGGAACCCTTCTTTCTTGAGGAGCGTGGTCAGGGGAGCAGCCACTGTGCCGTAATCCTTGATAAAGCGGCGGTAGTAGCCTGCGAGGCCGAGGAACCCACGCATCCCGCGCACCGTGGCGGGCTGTGGCCAGCTGGTGATGGCCGCCACCTTATCCTGATCCATAGCGACCCCGGCCGATGAAATGACGTGCCCCAGGTACTGTACTGAGGTAGTAGCAAAAGAGCACTTGGAACGCTTGAGCCGGAGTTGATGTTCGCGTAGCGCAGTGAGGACAGCATTGAGGTGTTGCAAATGTGTCGACCAAGACGGGCTATAAATCAAGATGTCGTCAAAAAATACGAGTACGAACTTACGCAAGAACGGCCGGAGCACGGTGTTCATGAGGCTTTGAAACGTCGCCGGTGCATTCGAGAGTCCGAAAGGCATCACCAAAAATTCGAAATGACCTTCATGAGTGCGGAATGCTGTCTTCTCTATGTCCGCTTCGTGCATACGGACTTGATGATAGCCCGACCGCAGATCCAACTTTGTAAAGAATCGTGCCCCTTGTAATTCATCAATCAGCTCCTCAACCACGGGAATAGGGAACTCGTCCTTGACGGTGACCTTGTTCAAAGCGCGGTAATCAACACAAAAGCGCCACGAGCCGTCGTGCTTCTTGACGAGGAGTACCGGAGCGGAGAACGCTGCTGTACTTGGACGGATCACGCCCTGCTGCAGCATCGCGGCACATTGTGACTCCAGCTCGTCCTTCTGGAGCTGGGGATATCGATATGGTCGCACAGCCACCGGAGTCGTGTTTGGAAGAAGATGGATGCGGTGATCACAGGCACGAGTGGGGGGTAAGCCTTCAGGTGTGGCGAAGAGATCGTCAAAAGACAAGAGCAGCTTGTCCAACAGAGGGCTGTCTGTACTGGCCGTGACTTCCTGGAGTGCATTGAGGCGGCGTGTAGACTGCACATCCCACCGAGTAGAACCGATGCCGCGCCAAAACACTCGCTTGCCTCCTTTGGTGAATGCCATACAAAGGTCATCGAAGTCCCATAGAATCGGCCCCAGCGTGCGCAAGAAGTTGACCCCGAGGACCATGTCCCACTTATCCATAGGAATTGTGTAGCAATCAACTGAGAAGACCTCGTCGGCAATACGAATGCCCACGTCGTGGGCAAGGCCGCGACAAGCAACGCGGTCACCATTGGCCACGACTACGCCGGTACCTGGGCATGGTTCGAAGTGTATGCCAACGCGCCGAGCTATGTCCCCACTGATGAACGTGTGAGTCAATCCTGAATCCAGCAAGGCCAAACACTGGATGCCCCCAATCTGAACAGACACCTGCATGGTGTCTTCAGTCCGGATCCCGGCGATAGCTGACAGGGAGATCGTGGGCGTTTCTTGGCCCGCAGGTTGGTCCTCTTCATCATCCGTCTCGTGTTCGTGCACAATATAATCAAGAACTTCCAAAAAAGAGACGCGCACACTTATGGCCTGGACGACGGCTCATCACAATTGTAGCACAACCCGAGCTTGCGGCGTTCTGACATCTCCGCCGGGGTGAGGAACTTGAAGGCCCGCGCCGGAGGTTGTGAGGACGAGGCAGCCTGTGATGATGCACCACCGGAGGAGGCAAGGCCGGTATCCCCTGCCCGTCTTGGGCGAGACGATCTGCTGGGCGTGGCCGGAAGAGCAAAATCGCGATGGCGCGTTCTGCGGTGCTCATAGGCTCGTGCAGCGCGCATGGCGCAAGTGCATCCCGGGGCTCATGAAGCTCAACGTCGACGCGGATGTAGTCCGGAGCCCCCACGTGAATAACAAGGCTTATTGGACCGGATCAAGCGGCCGGCATGTGCTAACCGTGCACGAACGCCGACATGTAGGAGTCGACGCCACAGAATGGAAGGCGAGCGAGGTCCGCCAGGTGGTTGGTGGACAAGGCCGGCCCGAAGCGCTGATGACATAGAAGCCGGAACGCGTCCCAGGACGAGCGGCCAGTGTCGCGCTCCATGATGTAGTACCAATGTTGAGCATCGCCGGTCATGTGAAACGGTTAGCTAGCGACTTTGTCCGTCTCCCGGTGAGCCGGGCCACGGAAGAATGCCTCACAAATGATTCAACCAACCAAGAGGGTCTTCTTTGCCGTCATAAGTAGGAAAAAAAAACGACTTGTGGAATCTGGGAATTCCAGCGCTCTCCCCATGATCTTCATGAACAGGAAGCGGATGTGGGCGGTGCGGTGGTGTATGTACCACAGTAGCGGGGGACATGACGGCGCCGTTCAGGATGGCCGACATCGACGGCAGTGGCGACGGCGAATGCGGGAACGGGATAGATTGGATTAAGCGGGCCCGTCACGGTGGTCGCTATACTGGCGACGCCGGAAAAGCGCGATCGGCCGGTAGCGCCGGATGATGGAAGCACCGACTCGGCCGATGAGATCGACGGCGAAGGCAAAATCTCCGAGATCACCGGCCCGGACGCCGGAATCTTGCCGTACCTCGGCATGCCAAGGAGTAGAGGCTGGGAGTATGGAAGGGGTGGTGTCGCCGAGGACGAAGCTGACCTTGACGGCCGTCATCAATCGCAGAGAAAACCTCCCCACCGACGCCGTGTTGCATGCCTTGAACAGCGAGGGTCAGCGCGGCTAGGCTGTCCTCGACGGAGGGCTTGGGAGGGGCCGGCTGTGGTTGGAACGGCCCAGAGTTGGCCGCAGATGTGGATGGCACGAGCGGCCGGGTGGTGGCGGCGGAGGCGGCGGAGGCGGCGGTGGTGGGAGGGATGGCCGGTGCTCCAGGACCAGACGTAGCCATGAACGCTGATACCAGATTGATACGGCGTGCTTTGCTACGGAGGTAGTAGGGAGGCGAGGCTAGGGCGCGAGGTCCTGAATCACGGCGTCGAGTTGGAGGCGCCGTGATCGAGCAGATGGTAGGGCAGTAGCACGGCAAGACAAGTGACGCCTGGGCGCCCAGGGAAGAGATTAATCTTAATCCTAGGCTGCTTTTCTCAATCGTAATTATGTAGTACTTATACAAGCAATCCTCAACCGACTAGACTCTGACTTACGCAAATAACAACTGACTTAAATAAATAACAAACTAAAGATAATAGTCCTAGATTCTAGGACTTGCTAACCGACTTGGCTTGGTGATCACGAACCACCGTAGCAACTCCGGACTCTAGACACGGTTCCTGCGCTCGTACGTATTACCGATCATAACACAAGGGTATTCTGGTTCCATTTTAGAAAGAAACAAAGGAAATGAATAGAGAAGAAATGCATCTTATTTGTGCAAGAGTATTTCAAAGGATGGATGAATGTGTTATGTGGCTGCTAGGATCGAGAGGGAGACGCGGCGATGGAGCTACAGTACCCGCGGGTACTGTTCACGCGAGGGAGAGAGGGCAGGGACGGCTGGCTCCTAGGGGAAGCCAGCAACTTAATTGTTGCTTCTTGTTTGACTATAACTGATACAGTGTTCTCTTTTATAGAGATGACTGACTTGACCCCCAAGGAAATATCCTAACCGAATCAATCTAATATATATCTTTCCTAACAAACCAAACCACATATCTCTTTTCTAACAAACCAAACAATCTAATCTAATCTGTTCACGCGCTACAGTACCGCGTCGCTACATTACCGCGTGGGCCCCTGGGCTGGCTCTACTTGCCATAACACTACTACACCCCTCGAAGACAGCTCGTCCTCGAGCTGTGGCGATTGCTGGAGCGGAAGACCTTGCGGTCCAGAGAAGATCGCCATGGCGGACACTGCTTCCTCCTCGAGGTGCCAAACTTGGTCGCTCCATCCGATCTGCGTGGAATCGAATCCGCCGGATCGAAGCCATGGGCGCTTGCATGTGGGAGTCGATGGTGCCCTCCACGAGCAACACCACCCCGCTATGGGTGTAGCCGAAGCGGGGTTCGCCGAGGCGTACTCAAGCGGCCGATGGAGCTTTGAAGGCTCTTCTTTGAGGCGGCGGAGAGAATAAGCGCATGCAAACAGCCACCGCCCCTTTCGCCAAGGATCGGTCTTTGTGGCTCGTGAGGCGGCGACAAAGGCACCATGTCCGCCAATGTCGGTGCATGGATGATCGCCGCATTGGTGACACTAGTCTTTGGCGGGGTTGTTGGCGAAAATCCGGGCGATGAGATCGCCGGAGTTATGGCAGCCGGGGCCTTCATTGGTGATGTGGCGCACTCCAATAGGGCCTGTGCGGCAGCCGAGGGCGCCGTGCCCATGCTGTCCATCGAGGGCGACGCAATGAGAGCGTCGGCATCGATCAGCCGCCGCGGGAACAGGGGCCACCCACCCGCCAGAAAGACGCCGGAGCCGGGCGCCGCCAGCGCCAAGACAGCCCCGATGGCCGGAAGCGGCGGTAAAAGTCTTGGCGGGCATCGGGCGCCGTGTAGATGGGTTTCGACGAACCGGCGATCCAAGCCGGAAGCGGTGACGGCGACGGCGGGAACTGGATCTGCTGGATGGGAACGCCCTGGGACGGCGGTGGCACGGCTGGGAACGAGGTCGTCGCAGTCCCGTCGTAGGGCATCCCATACTGGTACGAGATGACCGGCGCCGTGGTTGCGGCGAGGAAGGCCCTGATGCCCGCCACGGCCTGCCGTAATTCCAGGATTGTGGCCGTCATCTGCTCCGGGTGAGGACGAGGCGGCGGAGACGACGACGCGCCGGGGGGGAGGGCGCGATCGCTTCGAGGACGCCAATAAGGCCCAATGTCGGCGCTACCGATATGTAACAGCAAGCGCCGACGAAGACGATGGTGGCAGCGGGTGGACATGTTCGAACCACATGATCGAACCAGAGATCTCTGATACCAGATTGTTACGTGGCTGCCAGGATTGAGAGGGAGAGGCGGCGACGGAGCTACAGTACCCGTGGGTACTGTTCACGCGAGGGAGAGAGGGCAGGGACGGCTGGCTCCCAAGGGAAGCCAGCAACTTAATTGTTGCTTCTTGCTTGACTATAGCTGATACAGGATTCTCTTTTATAGAGATGACTGACTTTGACCCCTAAGGAAATATCCTAACCGAATTAATCTAACCTATATCTTTCCCAACAAACCAAATTCATGCGCTACAGTACAGCGTCGCTACAGTACCGCGTGGGCCCCTGGGCCGGCTCTACTTGCCATAACAGAATGGTTGTCTTGTTTGCATTTTTGAAAGTTTGCATCAATGTTGGGAAATGTTTGTTGGTAGTGAGCTATGCTCAAGTTTACATGTAGAATAACCAATCTTGGAATGAAACCATCTGTTCTCTGAAACTGTTTGGATTTTATATTCACTCAATGATTCATGTATTTTCTGCACTTTTTCGCTGGTGAGGAAGTTATGTGAACATCAGTTGATAGAACAAAAATTGCTCCCTGTGTCTATCAATCTAAGGCATATTTTGGTTCAAGAAAAAGTCTTTGAAAGTATATTTTGACCTTTAGTTTCTCTTAAAATATAAGCCAATTGCTACAAAATCAACGTCACCCTAAAAGTTTTGAATACAAATCAGCAACATTTTTTACACTTGATGTTCATTTATTTTCACTTATTGTTGGTCAAAACTTCCTAGGCTTGGTATTTGAAATTAAAGACACCTTACATTGATGGAGTGCTTCTGATGGCCATCTTGTTGGCCTGAAAAATGAGAACTTATGAAATTGGTTGCTGCCTCTCTCTTTTTTTTTTCCCTTTATTATGCCTGTATCTTATCAATGTATCTGTAATTGAGACGGAGGATCCTCATTTGTTTCTCAAGGATATGCAATTAGCTGCCGCTAGAGCATTCTCAGCATTGTGTTTCATTGCATATAAGGCCCAACCTCAGTTGATGGAAAATGCCAGCTTTACTGGTGATGTTTCTGAGGTTAGTACTTTATCACACTATGTTTGTTCAGTCCTTCATTGTTCTTGATAACCTTTTTTTTTTAAATTTTCTTTCGCCATCTTTATACACTGATGTCACTCTTCTTATGTTTCCTTCCCCTTTCACAATTGCTCTCAGATTCGGAGATTGGAATCAAGTATATCCTACATTCTAGATGAGGATGATAAAACTAATGATTGTTTGGTTGTGGCTGTATTCAACCTTTTGACATCTGCTGCTCGTTATCAGGTGTTGTTTCTTCCATAGTGTTCATATTTTGAGTATGCTGTACAGAAATAACAAGTGAGATGGTCGTTGATGTCAAAATTTTATCCTATGAGGCCAGTGGAGAAATGCTCTTTTGAATATGTATGTGATTCAGATTTTCATATTATCATTATATAATGATCACCACTTTTGTGAATCTATCACATTTATTTATATAGCATGCCTGAGACACTGAGTCGCTGACTTTATATAATTTGTTGCATAGACTATCAAATAGAGTTATTCATATGCTGTCTTTTGACAAATAATTCCTTAAATGTCAGTACTAATTCTCCAAATCAGCATCTGTTGTTGCAAAACAACTTTACTGTTTCATAGAATTATTTATATGCCATTTTTGGACAAATAAGTCCTTAAATGTCATTGCTCATTTCTCTAAATCAGCATGTGTTGTTGCAAAACAACTTAAGTACTGCTACATGTACAACCATTTGAGTACAACTCAAGATCCAAAGTTTAAAATCATTTTAATACAAAGATTACAACTACAATGTATGGTTTATACAGTACATGAGTTGTAGCTAAATGATTTTATTCAAAGCATTTCCAAACAACTTATCCACTACATGCCATCTGCTTCGAAAACATTACACTTATATGCCCACTATTGACCGGTGAAGCTGTGTTGGAAGCATTGGTCATGTGTTATGATAGTATGGTCGAGCATGAGATTTTTACCACTGATTGTGTTATGACTGTTAGGAGTGAATGAACTCAGTGCATTACGGTGGGCTTCAGCCCAAACATGTACATGGGCAAATATGCATAGAAGCCCTTACACAAAGAGGAAATAGCAAAGACACCTATACATCTATATCTAACACCCCCCCTCAAACTCAGGGTGGATCACGAAAACTGAGTTTGGAGAGAAAGAAACTATGTTGAGCTCTTGTCTGTGCCTTTGTGAAGAAATCAGCCAACTGAAGCTCCGAAGGCACATAGCAAAGAGTAATGACATCATCCTGCACTTGTGCCCGAGTGTAAGACGCATCAACACCGATATGCTTGGTGAGGTCATGCTTCACCGGATCATGAGCTATCTTGATAGCACCGCATTTGTCGAGACAAGAGAGGAGTTAGCACAGTAAACCAAACACCAAAATCCTCAATTAGCCATCGCAACCAAGTAACCTCTGTCATCACAAGAGCCATAGCTCATAACTCACCTCTCCACTCGAACGAGAAAAACCGCGGTGCCGCTTCTTAGTCTTCCAAGCAATTAGAGAACCACCTAGAAAAACACAATAGGTTTGAAAGAGAGCGACGATCGGAAGAGTCGCTAGCCCAAGTAGCATCGGAGTAGGCTTGGAGTTGAAAAGAGCTAGAGCGTGGGAAGAACAGACGGCGAGTAATGGTCCCACGAAGGTAACGCAAGACACGAAGAAGATGACTATAGTGGAGGTGAGTGGGAGCGAAACAAAGCCGACTAAGAATGTGCACAAACATATGAAATGTCAGGACGAGTCACACCTAAATAGACAAGACTCCCAACAATATGACGATATCGAGTGGGATCAGTGAGAGGTTCACCATCAGTTGTGCGAAGATGAAGATTAAGCTCTATGGGAGTCTCAACAGTGCGATGATCAGTGAGGGAAGAACGATCAAGAAGATCTTGAATGTACTTTTCTTGGGACAGATAAATGCCATCAGAGGTTGAAGAGACCTCAATCCCAAGAAAGTAATGAAGAGGGCCAAGATCGGACATGAGAAACTGCTCACTGAGACGTGCCTTCACAAATGCAATATACTCAGAATCATCACCAGTGATGAGCATATCATCAACATAAAGAAGAAGAAGAGTGCGGCCACGAGATGAATTATGAACAAACAAGGCAGGGTCATGAGCACTCGGAGAAAAACCAACAGCTGTGATCACAGAGGAAAAACGCTGAAACCAAGCGCGAGGAGCTTGTTTCAGTCCATAAAGAGAGCGACGAAGACGACAAACGTTGCCATCAGGAACAAGATACCCAGGAGGTGGTCGCATGTAGACCTCCTCATGGAGTTCACCATTAAGAAAGGCATTTTTGACATCGAGTTGAGAAATGGACCAGGCACGAACAGAGGCCACAGCAAGGAGAGTGCGAATAGTGGTCATGTGAGCTACAGGAGCAAAAGTCTCATCATAGTCACGACCATGCTCCTGTTGAAAACCACGAGCAACAAGACGGGCCTTATAACGCTCGAGAGAGCCATCTGAGCGAGTCTTAATCTTATAAACCCACTTACACGTGATGGGACGAGCATGAGAAGGAAGAGGAACAAGATCCCAAGTGCCAGTGCGCTCTAGAGCAACAATCTCCTCGACCATGGCATGTTGCCATTCGGATGACAAATGGCATCATGGTATGTGGCCGCTCGAAAAAACGGTGCCAAAAAACCATACCGGTTTGTAGGCTTTAGCGACCCACGATCACGAAGATCATAACGAGAGGATGGCTGAGAGGAAATATCCTCAACCGAAGATGTCTCAACCGGAGGTGAAACATCAGGAGACGCCTCAACAGGAGGCGAGGGATTCTGGAGGCGACGACTGTAGGTGTGAATCACAGGGGGTTTGGAATCATAAATGGACCTAAAAGGAACATGTGAAGGCGGTGAGAGAAGGCGGCGAAGGAGAGGTGCAAGAGGAGATGGTGGAGGAGGAAGAAACACAAAGGAGATAGGTGTATCGGAAAGATCAAGAAGGAAAGAGGCTCAACAACGATGCGGGGAGAAACATCGAGGTAGGCCGAGGATAGAATGAGCGAGACTCGTCAAAAGTAACGCCCCGAGAAATCCATGAACGACGAGCAACAGGTCCCAACAACGATATCCCTTGTGTTCAAAGACTATAGCCTGTGAAAACACACTCAGCAGATTGAGATGTCGACTTAGTGCGTTCACGAGGAGCAAGAAGGACATAGCAAAGACACCCAAAAAGGCGAAGATCTGAGTAATCTGGTGGCTTGCCACAGAGGCGCTCATATGGGATTCCGCCTTGAAGAAGCGGATGAAGGTGAATGTTAGTTAAATAAGTGGCGATGGATATCGCATCGCCCCAAAAATGAGGTGGAACAGAGGAAGCAATCATAAGAGCACGAAAGCAGGTTTCAAGAAGGTGGCGATGTTTACGCTCAAAGAACACCATTACGAAGCGTCGCACACAGGACAAGAAAACGAGAAAAGAGTGCCTGTTCAGAAAAGAAATTGGCGAAGAGCGCCTGAGAGATACTCCCAAAGCAGAGTCGTCAAGAAAAAAACACGAATAGGAGTGTCAAATTGAGTACGAATCATCTCGAGCAAATATCTTATATATGGATAACACCTCATTACGATGTTTCATGAAATACACCCATGTGAAGCGAGAGAAATCATCTATAAATATGACATAATATTGATGACCCCCTTTTGAAACGAAGGGTGCAGGACCCCATACATCGGAATGAACAAGGTCAAAGGGACGCTGTGACACTGATCCACTAGAGGGATATGGAAGTTGGAGCTGTTTGCCAAGCTTACAACCCTGACACTGATCTAAAGAAACATTACTAGAAACATTCCCCAAAAGACCACGACGGACAAGAGTGGATAACCGGGAACCACATAAATGTCCCAATCGATGATGCCACTGAGCAAAAGATGAAGAAGCCGATGCAGGAGAAGCAGAGCCCACAAGACTGGCAGAGGCAGCGGAAGGAAGACGAAGCCAGTCAAGTTCCCAAAGACGCTGAGAATCACGGCGGCGAGGGCCAGTACCAACCAGGAGACCCGTGCTGAGATCCTGGACACGACAAGAGTCAGAATCAAAAATAACACGACAACCATGATCAGTGAGCTGGCCAGCTGAAATAAGTTGCATGGTCAAATTAGGGACATATGAAACAGTAGGAACATGAAAAGAGGAGGACAAAAGAGTGCCATGTCCAAGAACAGGGAGAGTTGAACCGTCGGCGGTCTGAACAATGATAGGAGTAGAAGAAGGACGAATGGAAGAAAGACTGGTACAATCAGAGGTCGTGTGAAAAGAAGCACCAGAATCAAGAATCCATGGCAAAGTACCTGAAGTGAAAGGTGGTTCCCCAGTGGAAGATTGTGAGGCAGCAGCAGAAACCAAAGGTGCAGAGACTGGGGTGACAGAACTAGCAGCTCCAGCAGGCACAGAGGGAGCTAGCCGACGAAGCAACATAAGTATCTCCTGTGTCTCAGAACCAGCCAAGCTACTCAAGAGGGTCCAAAGAAGAGAACGATCGAAACCCCGTGGAGGAACGACCACCTCGGCGTGAATGAGCCTTCTCCTTCTTCTTCTTCTTATAACAATAATCTTCAATATGTCCATCTTTTTCACAGTAGTTGCAATGAAGTCCACCAGCACTACCACTCCCATAGGACACCGCTGACGAAGGTGTTGTAGGGAGGGGTGTAGGACGTCCAGAAGGTGCAGAGCGAACAGCCAGCACTGACAAGGCAGCTGACTGCAGCAAGCTAGCAGAACGAAGACGGATCTCTTCATTCCGAACAGCAGCAAGAGCATCCATCAGGGACACACAGGGTTCACGAGCTAGTAACTGGGCACGAAGAGGCTCGAATTCAGCACGAAGACGAGTCAGAAAATCGTAGATGCGCCAAAGCTCAAGATGGCTCTGTTGCTTCCTGCAGGACTCACAAGTGGCAGGGGACAGCTGAGGACTCAGAGTGTCAAGCTCACGCCACACACTAGAGAGCTGGTTAAAGAACTCCTCAATTGTAGCATCACCTGTTGCAACAATCTGCTCTTGGCGTAAAAGCATAAGGTATGTGGACTGACCAGAGGGCTCATAACGCCGGTGAAGAAAAAAAGCCCACATCCGAGAAGCATAGTCAAGCTCTACAATATTGGCGGTCAAATGTTCCTCCATGCTAGCAGTTAGAACAGCACTGCACGAGCATCCTCATCCAACCAAGTCCGATATCTCGCAAATCGAGACATGTATGAGGCCATATCATCATTATATTCATCATGCAATTTCTTCTTATCATCGTCTCTGTTGCAGGAGGAAAGACCGGCTACAGAGGGGAGTGGGTAAAGGTGGACACGGCAGTTCACCAGTGAGAAAATCCCAAAGCCGTAGACCACGCATATGCCAACGCATGCGAGAAACCCAAACACGATAATTAGTGCCATTGAAGATTACTGGACATCGTGGAATCTGACCCCCATAAGACTGAGAAAGCAGACCAGCAACCGGTTGAGGATCTGAACTTGAAGCCATCCTAGTTCAGAGTGCAAAGAGAACCAGGGGGGGGGGACGGAGCTCTCCTCTGCTCCAAGAGAAAAACAGAGCAGAGCAGCTCCTCTGCTCCAAAAGAAGGCAGAGCAGAAAGAGAGAGCCGCTACTGGCAAGGCAGCAGCGGGGCGGCGAAAGCGCAGTGGAGGGCCAGCCAGCGCGGCGAAAGCAGAGCAGAGGGGCCAGAGCGAGGGGGCAGGCGCGCGCAGAGTGGAGGGCCGCTACCGCAAGCGAAGCGGGGCGGCTTCAACGGCGAACAGAGCAGAGGGCCGCGCCTGGCGAAGCAGAGCAGGGGCGGCTTCAACCAGAGGGCCAGCGCCCGCGCGTGGGAGGGCAGCAGCGGCGCACCAGGGGAGGTCGGCGTCCACCGGAGGTCATGCCAGCCAGCCGCAAGCAGCCGCGGAGCACACACGCAAGACGCTGCTGCCGCCCGACGGCCGCGCGGCAAGGCGATGGTCGCGACAGCGTCGGGATGATGCGCGACGAAAGGCCTGAACGAGCGCGGTGGCGCACGGGAGGAGCAAAGCAGGGGCACTCGCCGGCGGCAACGATGCCGGTGACGCCTGCAACGGCAGCGAGGTAAACCTAGACACCGGCTCTGGATACCATGTTAGGAGTGAATGAACTCAGTGCATTACGGTGGGCTTCAGCCCAAACATGTACATGGGCAAATATGCATAGAAGCCCTTACACAAAGAGGAAATAGCAAAGACACCTATACATCTATATCTAACAATGACGAGCTGGTATAAACTATCCTTATTATCTTGAGATAGATGTAATCAGTGATTGTCTCTAGACTAATTTGAGCTCTATGTGCTGCAAACTGTTTTGTCATAACCTCCACATCCCTGAGCTTATGTTTTTTTTAAGTTTATTATGTTACTGTGGTGCATCTGACCTTCTGTTCATCATAGACATAAACTGTTAAATTCACATGTGAATTAACCCGGCATATTTATTTTGCAGCCTGCTTTTCTTATTTCCTTGATAGAGCAGAGTATGAAGTCAGCTGATCATAATGCTTCCACCAATGATCGTGACAAGGGAGTTTCTGTTACTTCAAAAAGTAATGCTAAACTTGTTGACCAAATCTTGGACTATATTGAAAGGTCCATTGAGCTCATGAATAGGTAAAGGATATATTACATTTGTCGCCATATTAAAGGAATCTGATCTTAGGCGAGGAGAATTTTTCCTCATTTCTCGTGGAGAAAACTGTTCTGGTTTCATTTAACAAAGTTTTATCAAAAAGACAAAAAAACCCTTAGGGGCTGTTTGCATCCTTTCATTTTGGAGGAATTGGAATCTACTTAATGGACTAGGCTATTTGGCTTGGAATTTGACATTCCACAACTTTCCAAAGTTCAGATATAAGTCTATCTTAAATTCATGGGGTGGGAGATGGACATTAATTCTATAGATCGCCATGCTATGTTTCTACTATGCAACTTATAGCACACTCTTCGACTCACTCCCCTGTAGCAGAAGTGCATCACATAAGTATTTCCCCCCATATGGTAAACAGTAATATACAAATATATTATATTAGTTTAATTGAGTTGTGCCTAAATTATGATTATTAGAATGGAATTCAATATGCGTTAAAAAAAAGAATGGAATTCTATTCCAAGGATCCAAACGGGGCCTTAACTGGTTTCTTCATGACTTCATGGTTGCCCCTATTTTGTCCTGTTACCTAATAATATGTCAATATTTTGCAGTTGACATGTTGAATTGAATTGCAATATTTAATATCAGGAAATATATTCCTTGCAGATCTCCCTTGGTGTTACTCAGTATTCTCGATTTGTTGAGGGCATTATGGGAAAGTGGTATACAGTTTTTGTGCATTTTAGAGAAGCTAAGAAGCTCTGTAACATTCTGGGATAACTTATCACGGTGTATTTGTGCTACACTTGATATCTGCTCTATTGACAGTGTTGATGCCATTGACAAGAAATTTTCGTTAAGGTGTGGTCACAGTCACAGCTATTGAATTGTTGGCATCATTTTTTAAATCAATATCTTCTTAAGTTTTTTTAAAAAAAAAATTGAGTTAGCTCTGCTGATCCTGCTTCCTAATGTAGCATTTAGTGTGAGGCCTGGAGTTAAGTTGTAGAATTTTAAATTAAATCTGGTTATTTAATGAATTAGATTCTTTTCCAGATGATTTGCTTCCATCCACTCCCAGTAGAAGTTCTTTCAATTTGCAGGTACCATTGTCAGGGTAAGATATTTGAGATCATATCACATGAGTTATTCTTGCAAGAAAAATTGCTTGCAGAGACTTCTAATACTGTCCAAGATGATCCAAAGGGGCAAAAAGAGCATAAAAGTGGGCCTTGTCGTAGCAGTGTAGTCTTGAAATGGTTTGATAATGCTATTTTGGACGATCTGATCAGTAATTTGTCAAGTAATGCATACAAAAAGGAACTTCTTCATCATGCAAAGGTAGATTTATTGTTTCTTGTCTGATTCACCGAAGATAATGCCATCCTTTCTTTCTTTTCTTTTCTTTTTTCTTTTAATTTTAGTTTGGCCAGGGGGTTCATATTGTCTTTTTCTCCAAGCTCTCACTGGTTATCAAATATCTGACTAAAGCAGTACATAGTGCATGCACAATGGTGTATTTCTATGAGTGAATTTTGTATTCAGGGGTTCCAGTGGCCCCATTAACAAATTCAGGATGTTGCATTGTTTCAAAAGTTCTTCCAAAAAAATGTATGTAATGCAGATAAAGCTAAACTTGCTAAGACTCAATTTGAAATTCATCCCAGGTGTCAAGAAACAAAATTGACAGGCAGCCAATCTGCCTTTTTTCATCATGTGCTAACAGTACTTTATGTGTGCTACTATGTGATTTTTGTATGGAAATTTGAAATATTGTAACATGTTCGGTCAATACATCTTTTCTAATAAACAAAAAACATCTCTTAACTTGGAACCACATAAAACAGGACCATCAATTCTTGGAACCAACACAAACATTCATTTAGGTGCCATGCCATGGTGGTTGCCTTATGTGGCCTGGTTTTAGCTCGTGCTGTATGGTCTCCGAATGCACATTGGATTGAGCAACACAAAGTCCATCCAGACTTTGATTGAAGTCCTCTCATGGATAAGTAGCTCTATGTTTCCATAGATGGATTCTATTTTTTGTTTGTACAGGAGTGGCTTCTTTTTCCATGGTTCCAAGGGTCAAGGAGATGAGAATGGGGAGAAGTGAACTACCAAACAACCTGTTTTTGTTTGCCTGGCTTTGCTAGGCTTGCTCGGCTAGCCTGCCCTGGCCTGGCAAAGAAACCGAGTATGCCCTGAATTTCGATCACACATCTTCTCTGGAAGAACAATTTTGCTCCTTTATGTTGATGACATGCTCATCACTGGCGATGATCCTATGCACATATCCTTTGTAAAAAAGGTGTCTTAGTGAAAAGTTCATGATGTCTGATCTAGCATCACTCCTATACTTCTTGGGGTTTGAGGTTATCTCCAGCCCTGATGGCTACTTTCTATCCCAGCAGAAGTACATTCAAGATATCCTTGATCGTTATGGGCTCACAGATCATCTTATTGCTGAGACTCCTATGGAGCTCACCTTCAGCTTCGTGCTATTGATGGTGAGCCTCTCCAGGATCCAACTCTCTATCGCCAAATTATTGGGAGCATTGTTTACCTTGGTATCACTCGTCCTGACATTTCTCATGCTGTTCACATTCTCAGTCAGTTTGTGTGTTCTACTCAGCTTCACTATAGTCACCATCTTCGTGTTCTTCGCTATCTGCGGGGAACCATCTCGAGTCTTCTTTTCTTTCCACGCTCTAGCACACTACAGCTCCAGGCATATTCTAATGCAACCTGGGCCAGTGATCTATCTGATTGCCAATCTCTTTCTGCCTATCGTGTTTTCCTTGGCTCCTCTCTCATTGCTTGGAAGACAAAGAAACAAACCGCTCTATCCCGCTCGAGCGCTGAGGCTGAGTTGAGAGCTATGGCATCAGTGACAGCTAAGATAACTAGGTTGAGGTGGCTTTTAGTTGATCTTGGGGTTTCTGATCCAGGACCTATTCCCCTGTTGTCGGACATTAGCAGTGGCGAATGCAGCCTAGGAGGGGCTCATCCATCTCTATCCTCCTCTTTCTCTTTTTCTTCTCCTCCTCTCTTTTGTTCTTCTACTTCACCCCTACTACATCCGCCTGGAGCTATCAGCATTGCTCGTGATCCAGTGAAGCATGAGCTTACGAAACATATTGGAGTTGATGCTTCTTATACACGCTCTCAGGTGCAAGATCGTGTTATCACTCTTCAGATTTGCAGCTAGCTGATTTCTCCACAAAGTCGCATACCAGGGCGCGTCATATCATATGTTCTATCTTTCCAAACTCTGTTTTTGACTCACCATGAGTCTGAAGGGGAAGGGGGGGTTAATTAGCCCATAGTATAGGGGCTTCTTTGTATATTTACACAAGTGTATATTTGCTCATTGGGGCCCTTGGAATAGATTAGATGCATTATTGTAACATTATTCACTGACATGTTGCAAAAACCATTGCCATGTCAGCCAAAATAATGGCGGTTTAGCTGATGAGGTGCCCTGATATTGATTGTTGAGTATTGTCTTCCGCAATATTTTAGAATTTAGGTTTGGAAAATAAACTGCAGCAAGAGTTGAGGGTTGACAAATTGCCTTTTTCCTCTTATTTTCTTATCTTTTATTTGACTTGTGGTTACTAATCATGCTAATAAGAATGGCAAGGTACTTTGAAATGCTTATTGTTATTATCTTCATTTCAACAGGTAGCTGCCTGCTTATGTATCATCCATTTAATAACAAAGTTGTCAACTGGTGATACTGGGAGCTTGTCTTTCTCATTCATGAAGAAAATTCAGATCATATCAACAAAAGTAAGGCATCTATGAGACTTTGATGTTGTTTCTTTGGCATCACCTTGTTTACACTGTCTTTCTTCTGTTTGGTTTCTAGATAGAAAAGTACTTCACCTCCTATGGTTTTTTTTTATGTCAGTTGTATGGAAAAATCAGACTAGGACATGAGGAAAAAATAACTACAAAGTATAAAACAGTAGTATGTTTCAAAAAAAGTATAAAACAGGAGGTGAGGCCCTTACTGGAGAATGTAATTTCTATTGGGATGCCCACTAGTATATAGCACATCACATCACCAAAGTTGTCCCTTTCAAGTTCCGGTATGTTAGAGATGAAAACTCGATAAGAGGTACAAACTAAAAGAAGACAGTAATATTGTAAAACTAACAAATAATAGTATGAGGCGGACGACGAGGCATCGAGCTTGGAGACCCGCCTAAGGGTCTAGGGGAGCATGCTGGAGTGAGAGTGTGAGACTGAAGGAAGGCCGCAAGGTCAGATGCCACTGGTGGCATCCGCCATGGTAGCCGGTGTGAATGCGAGGCATGTGAGGCGGCTGTGCCATGCTGCCATGGCCGGGTGGCGGATCAGGTAGCACCCCACTGCAGTGCCCACCTAGAGGAGCCAGTGGCGGGCGAAGGCGAGGGCGTGCGGTACATGATGGTGGTCGGAGGTGTGGATGGGGAACTCGTGGTAGGGCCACTGCTGTGGTTTATTTTTCATTTTATTTCGTTTGCCACAATATCCACCCAACCCCAATACTATGTATTCATGGGTCGGTCAAAAATCTATCCTAACCTATCTAAACCCACCCATGCACAGGCTAAATTAAGATGCTTATGAAAAGATACTTTTATTAAATGTTTAGGCTACTGGATATACTTAATTTGTTATGTTACTTTTTTTCAGCTACTTACAGTTTGTTTATGCAGTTGTCACAGCACCATGCATTCTTAGCTCTCCTGTCGCAGTATTCCCGGCATGGATACAGGTAACCTTCTTAGTTTCGTGGAATCTATGATTGTGACTACTTTTTGTTTGAATCTGCATTAGGCATTATTCACTTTATTGCTCAAACAATTATTCCATTTCTGAGCCTGTAGACATTTGTTTCTGAGTTCGGAATATTGTCAGTTTTCCTTATCTTATCTATGACTCGTGTTAACCTTGATAGAGTAGAATTGACTTGTATGGGACTCCTTTCTGAATCTGTTATTGTTTTGGAGAAAGTGAGATGCATGAAGTGGTAATCAAGAACTTACTAATTTTATTCTCCCTTGAATGTGCAGTGGTGAACAAGAACTTAATAATTTGGTTATCAATGATCTTTATTATCATATACGTGGAGAACTCGAAGGTCGTCAGATTAGCTCTGGCCCTTTCGAGGAGTTGCTCAGTTTTCTTCTGGAGTTTAAACTTTTCGAACACAATCCCTTGGAGCAACTACGAAATACATACCTGATGGCAAACGACAAATTTGTATTTGATGTGGAGCACATACATGACGAGCTTGGAGTTGATCTCTGGACTGATTCAGACAGGAAGAGGTCTAAAGAAATAGCTAAAAAAATGCTGGATATTATGAGTAAAGCAAATTTAATGAAGTGTTATGCTGATGCAAAGCTTTCTGCATTGAGGTCTTTCTTGACATTTTTATCTGTCTACACAGGAGCGGTAATTTCATTTACCAATTGAAAATTGAGTTACTTTCTTTCCTAGATTATATTGTTGCACCATACTGTTTCTGTTACGAACCATAGTTCATTGGTTGCTTTGGGGGGAGACTATAGACTATAGGGAGACTTGGACTAGTTCTTCATTGGTTGCTTCCAATTGACTGCCATGCCTCTTTATATAGACCTGGCTCCTCAAAAATCGTAATAACATCATCTCCTATCAATCTTATCTAATCCTAACTAATTTGCTTAAGGCCACCATGGTCCACAGCTGCCCCGCCCCATAACACTCCCCCACCCTTGGGAAAACAGCTTGTCCTTGAGCTGCAGAGGAGAACTTGTGGCAGTCCGCACTTGACACTAAATGCGACACACCTTGAAATAACAGCCTTTTACATCTTGGCTCATTCCAGAGAAAAAACTTGAGATAATTCAATCTTTATTTGTGGTGCTCTCTGTGCATTGCCAACTATTGGTGGACCCCATCCAGGAGCATGGACAGAGAATGCAGGGGCATCTTCCCTGGCCGACCTTGTATAGAACAGAGCAGCAGCCTGTGTTGCTCCTGGTTCTGCTTAGGTGGCAGGGAGAACGCAGGACCCAGCACTGTTGGACACCTGCAGTGCCTTCCCTGACGTGTAGCCATGTTATGCTATTACAACATGCTCCAGCTGCTCCTCATGTGCCCTGGGAGGATGCAACAGATCAAGCAGACAAATGCCTCCCAAAGGCTCCCAGACCATGCATGCAAGGGGACTGCCAGGAATTGCTGGAACAACGACAGCCGAATCCACATGCTGCCCCCACACGACCACCACCTCCACCAACAAGGATGACTTGGCCCTCAGTTGCATTGTTGCCTGCACCACCAGGCCCAACAGCGGTGGCGAGGTGAGCGCCGCCCTGCGGTCCTCGCGGCCCCGCACCTGCAGCCTGCGTTGCACGCCGGCGACCCACGCAGCTCTGCGCGCCCCTGCTCCAGGCCCTGGAGCTCGCCCCGCGCAGCTCCGTGCTCCCATGGCCGGGCAATAGGGCTCCCCCGTTGGAGCTCGCCGCGCCGCCCCATGGCTGGGCCCTGGAGCTCGCCCCTCACTGCCATGGCCGACTTGTACTCGAGCTAGAAAGGCCACGGAGGAGCCCCTGCGCCCACGCGAGGGAGAAGGCACGACGCCGACGTGGGGTCAATCTGGTTTTCCGTCCGCTGCTTCCGTCGCCAGTTCGTCTGATGAATCATCTCTGCGGCCTCTGTCTTCCATCCCCGGCTTCCTCGTTGTGGACTGGTCTTGCTGCTGATCTGCTCTGCTGCTGCTCGGCACCGATTTGCTGCTGCTGATCTGCTCTGCTGTTGCTTGGTGCTGCTGCCGCACGACATGGTCTGCTCCGTCTCCTCTCCGGGTGCCCTTCTCGTGCTGGAACAGAGTCCTGGGCTTGCTGATGTAGTCAAGGACTGGGACTTCTCCATGGGCAAGAGTTTTCAAGCTGAAGTGCTTCACAGGTTTTTGTCCTCGGTGCACCACCCCTCTTCTACTCCAGATGGCTCTTTCCACTTGCTGGTGGTGTTTCGAAGATTTCTCTTTCGCCTCACTGAAGAATCGGTTGCCATGGCCCTTCACTGTTTGGGTGGAGCCCCTGCAGGGTTTCATGTAACCTTTGAATCGGATCGCCACTTTCGCTTCTCAGTTGCCAACAAGCATGTTGGCCTCCTGATTCGAGCCCTCAAAAGGATTACTACGGAATATTTCGATATCTACTTCCATTTGTGGCATGATGGTGGGGACAATTGGGTTAAAGAAAGCATCAAATGGCAGAAAGAAGAGAGCAGCTGGACCACAAAAACCAATCACAAGAACAAGCGGAAACTTAGTCACAAAAGAGTTTCTTTTCAGCGCAAGCTTGTTCAAGACTCTCCTATCTCAAAATCTGAGCCAAGAGAACTTGCTTCAGTGATCAAGATTGGAGGAATTTACTGCCCTATCTCTGATGAGCATCTCTCTGTTCGGGCTTTCTCTACTGGTCAGACTGATAGCCCTTCCTTTGTTGATCACTGCTCTGTTCGAGATCCTCCTGCTACTAGTTTGATTCTTAACAGATGTCCTAGTTCTGATGTTCATCAAATCCAGAAGGTTTCTATTGCTGAATCTAGGCATCCTGCATACAGTTCCAGAAGCATTCCAGTTCAAGCCAATGTGGGGCTGACTTCCCAAGGTGATAGTCTCATTCCATCCCCAAACACTTTTTCCTGCCGCTGGTTCAGGTGCTTAAGTCCTGGACACCTTGTCAGAGACTGCCTAAGTAAAATTCGTTGTTTGCTCTGCTACAATTATGGTCACAAGGCCCGATTCTGTGCCAAAACGCGTCAGGCCTTTAATCTCAAATGGGTTCAAAGGACCAGTAAGTCTCCTTTGATTGTTGGGTCAAGTAATACAGTGGCTGAGCCGGTGATTCAATGGGCGCCTAGACCCAATGCTCCATGTGACATTTTGCGCTCCACCATTCCCATACCAATTGAACCTACGCCGACCACCCCTCTCTCTTCAGTGCCCCAAGCACCAGAACCATGAGATCCTGTAGTGCCAAGAGAAGGTCAGCGCGTGGCTAAAATTGTTGATCACGTAATGGACAATCCGGTTGCGGCTAACCAGAACAAATATATCATAGAAGAAAACCAGAATTCGGGGGTGTTCCATCAGGCTGACTCCTTGACTTCCCACATGACACTTCAAGTAGGACCTGAAAAATTCGTTGAACTGGAGCACAGGCTAGTTCGAGGTACTGTACTTGGACAGAGTCAAGGCATACTTGTGCTTCCTGCAGCTGTCAACTCACTTGGAGTTCAATCTGATGATCAAAGGGACAGAGACCAGAGAATTACAACCACCAATTTCCTTGTTCATGGTCTTAGGCAGCTATTAAACATCCAAAGGGCACTTGGTTCTTCACGTCTATGTGGAAGCATCGCGACCCCAAGCTTCTTAATCCAAATTGACCTCTCAGCTTTGGGCATAAACTCTCTCTACATTGCAAACAATGTCACTAGTCAGGGCTCCATTCTGGTTCAAGACATGAATGCAGGACCTCTACAGATCACCCAAATCAGCGAAAATTGCCAGCCTGTTTCAAACATATCAGCGGAACATACAAGAGCTGGTCCTATCACAAAAGTGTATTTCAGAAGAAGGGCTAAGACAAGGAGCCAAGATTCTGAGGAGCAACCAACGCAAGATAGGTTGTTTCCTGCCATCCCCGAAGACTTTGCTCTCAAAGATCAAACAGGTCACAGGGGAGAGATGTTATTGTCGGGGTCACATATGAGAGGAGGAGCAAGCATCGTGGGTGAGCCAAACAGGTCTGGCAAAGATTGGGTTTGTTAGCATTATTAGGAGTCTTAGAGGGGTTGAGTTTGTTAGCAACTAGAATCCTTATTTTCAGCGTCAAGTTGTTAGAGTCAATTGTATAAGAGTCCAACTCTTGGTTAATGGAAAGGTAGCCTGGGATTGTGACTACAAGTCACCCTTGGGCGCCCGGCGTCTCCCTGTTCATCGCCATCTACTGTTCATCGTCATCTATTGCCGCCGCAATCACGGCTCCAGTCCGCCGACCCCTTGCACGCTCTCACGCTCCTCGATCCCCTCCCTACTTCCTCCGAAGCAAAGCCATGACGTCGTAACACATACTCTCCCTCTGAGGTGTTCAGGTGGTATCTTAGTTGGGTGGAGCAGCTCAATTTTTTCTGGAGAAGTGATTCAAACCAATAAGTTTGCCGTTTCGGTTAGATTTACCTCATCTCACAATGGGCAATGCTGGACTCTTTCATCCATCTATGGCCCGTGCCAATGTCCAGACAGGGATGCCTTTGTTGATTGGCTCAATAACCTCCAACTCAATAAAAAAAGGGTGTACCCAGTGCAGGGAGCTCCCGCTCTGTGCGGGGTCTGGGGAAGGGTGTCGGTGGCAAGCCTTACCCTCGTCTGTGCAATGCGAGGAGACCGCGACTCGAACCCGGGACCTTTCGGTCACAGGCGGCAAGACTCTACCGCTTGCACCAGGCCCGCCCTTCAACCTCCAACTCAATGCAGATGAGAATTGGATGCTTGCAGGGGACTTCAATTTCTACAGATCTGTTTCAGACAGAAATAGAGACGGAGGAAATATGAATGACATTATGATCTTTGATGAGCCTCAAGAATGGTGTGGTGGGAGTGAGAAGGCAAGGAGATAGGATTATCCTAGTCAAGCTTGTCGTTGGTGATATGGTCTTGAACGTAATTAGTGCGTATGCCCCCCAAGTAGGCCTCGACGAGAGTGCTAAGAGACAGTTCTGGGAAGACTTAGATGGCCTGATTAGAGCTGTACCTAGTAGTGAGAAGCTTTTTATAGGAGATCTTAATGGGTATGTAGGTACTATAAGCGCAGGTTTCGAGGCAGTTCATGGAGGCTTTGGTTATGGTAGTAGAAATCAGGAGGGGGAGGAAGTTCTAGACTTCGCAGTAGCTTTTGACCTGATGATAGCCAACACTTTCTTTAGAAAGAGAGAATCTCATGTAGTGACCTTTAGTAGCGGATAACACTCTAGTCAGATTGACTTTGTCCTCGCAAGAAGAAAGGACAAACGAGCATGCTTGGGTTGCAAGGTGATACCAGGGGAGTGTTGTTTCTCAACATAAGCTTTTGGTGGCAGACTTTCGTTTTCATGTGCGTGCCCGTAGGGGATAAACAAGCTAAAATTGAAAGAATAAAGTGGTGGAAACTGAAAGAGGAAACGTCAGAGGTATTCAGGGAAATGGTTATCAAAGAGGGCTCTCGAAAGGAAGAAGAGGACATAAACAACGTGTGGAAGAAGATGGCAACCAACATTTGGAAGGTGGCCTCAGAGGTGTGTGGAGCAACCAAAGGAAGTGGAGGCGAGGCTAAAGATACTTGGTGGTGGAACGAGGAAGTCCAAAGGGATATTAAGGAGAAGAAAATGCTATAGACGCTTGTACCATGACAGAAGTGTGG